CTAAGGCCCGGTAAGACGTTACCCTTAGTTCTATGGTGTGATACTATTCTGCGTGCTGGATCAATATAATCCTGACACTCTCATTCTTATTACTTAGTTAATCATTTTTTACTTCTACTGCATCGATCAGTCTCCCCATAGTGGTTCAAAGGGCATCTGTGCTGTTATACCTATAATCCTGTGTATGTGAATATTTATTATTATGATTTTTTTTTTTTTACTCCCATCTCCCTCCTTCACAGTTGTCCCATTGATTAGGGGCCCTTCTGTGGGCATGTAGTCATACTTATGCGGCTGTCTCTTGTTTTGTGTATAATGCAATTGCTACATAGTAAGCATCTGTAATCCAAGGCTTATTGTATACTTGTCAAACCTTTTGTGTTCTTATAATTAAAAAATGGATGTATTTTATTTCTTTTGTATTCTCTGTGCTTTTGAGTTGTGGTATTATACTATTATGTCATTCTATTTTGCGGTGTAATGTTGAATGTGCACAAATATGATCAATTCCTTTTTTCTGTTTATGCAACCCTAGCCAGACCTCCCCTGGCTGTGACACACACAGCCTGCATGGAAAAAAAATGGTTTAATTTTCAATCAAATATTAACTTACTTAAGAACTTTTTATTTTCTGCGCTGTAAATTGAACTTTAATCACAAACAGAAGGTCTATCAGGTCATTTCCAGGGCAGGAGATGAGTAATTCTAAATTAAACAAATAAAAAGAATTGTAAACATTAGCTCTTACTTTACAGGAAGTGTTTAGGAAGGCTAAGTTACTACAGACTCAGTGGTGGATCCGGGGGGGGGGCGGCCCCCCCAAGATTCTCCCCTGTCGGCTAATGCAGGGCTGGCAATGTGGATCTCCCTCCCCGGTCCGCAGGCACTATCCTGGCAGCCGGCAGAGCGTGAGAGGGAGGACCCAGGAGCGACGCTCCAGATCTCGCGAGAGTGAACTCTAGCCCTGCAGCTGCGGGCTAGTGTTCACTCTAACCACTGGACCACCAGGGATTCCCCACCGGACCACCAGGGATCAAGAAATGTCCCCCCTCCTCCCTCAGTAAAGGTAAGAAGGGAGGGGGGACATAAATGTATTAATTTCTATTAAATAAAAAAATGATTATAAAGCCTTCCTACCCTCCTTCCCCCACCATACACACACTGCCCCCATACAAACACTGCCCCACAAACATTGCCCCGATACAAACACTGCCCCCATACACACACTGCCCCACAAACACTGCCCCATACATACACTGCCTCCCATACAAACACTGCCCCACAAACACTGCCCCCATACAAACACTGCCCCCACACTGCCCCCATACAAACACTGCCCTTATACACACACTGCCCCACAAACACTGCCCCCCATACACACACTGCCCCACAAACATTGCCCCCCTATACACACACACTGCCCCACACAAACACTGCCCCCATACACACACTGCCCCACAAACACTGCCCCCATACAGATACTGCCTCACAAACACTGCACACCCATAGACACATTGCCCCACACACACATACACTACACACATTGCCCCACATACACGGCCTCCCCATACACACATTGCCCCACAGACACATACAGTGCCCCCCACACACTGCTGCTCCCATACACACATTGCCCCACACACACACGTCCCCCATACATACAGTTCCCCCTACACACACACACTGCCCACATACACACATTGCCACACATACACACATATTTCTGCCCCTATACACATACAGTGCCCCCCATACACACACTGCCCCATACACATACAGTGCCCCCCCATACACACACTGCCCCCACACACATACAGTGCCCCCATACATACACTGCCTTACACACACATACAGTGCCCCATACACACACTGCCCATACACACATACACTGCAAGCCTCACACACACACTGCCCCACACATACACTGCCCCCTAATACACACTGCAACTCTGACAAACACTGCCGCCCTCACGCACTTCACTGCTCACACACACACACACACACACACACACTGCAACTTTCACACACACTTCACCCCTCACACATACCACTGCTTCTATGCCCTATATCCCAGCAGACCCCAGGTAAGTTGTCAAACTGTTCTTGAACTATTTTGACTACTAACTCTGGGCTGGGATCCTGGCACTACTGGCACCATAACTACTACACTGAGCTGTAGTGGTTATTGTGCCTGGATTATTTATTTAAATAATCTACAAGTGCCCCTCCCGAGATCAGGCTCTGGATCTGTCACTGCCCAGACTATGGCCAATACTTGTGCTCAATTTTACCACCCAATTTTAATAATATTGAAAAAAATTTAAACTCCATTAACCTTTCAACACTGGAATTGGCATTATAAGCATTCCAAATAATTAAATTCTGTTAGAAACATTTTAAAACGATTTATCGACAAGCCCTATAGACTTTATTATTGACTTCTGAAGATGAATACATGTTTGTTATTATTTTATGTATTAATAGACATCAGGCCTGTCCATTATCACCATTCTTATATATCTTTATCTATCCTTGGAACCTTTGACATATGCTATATACAAAGTAGGGATGAGGTGAAGGGGATATATATGGTCAGGGTGTGGGTCAGCAAAAGATAACAATGACTATTGCTCCTACGTGAGCCCCTAACATCCCTCCCAGCCTTATTTGAGATGCTTAATGAATATGCAAATGTTTCCTATCATAAGATTAATTGCGCAAAATTCCAAGCATTGTGCGTACATCTGGAAGGGGAATGCTGAGATCTCTACGTGCCTCATTTACATTAGATTTAAAAACAATACGTTAGTTAGGAATAGATTTATATGCAAATCTGAAATCAATATTGGCACTTAGCATATCCCTGGTTTGGAATTAAATCCACCAATGCCTCAAACATATAACTCAGATGGCACCCTACATCACCTGATCACTTTTCTCAATATTTCCGACTTGGCAGAAAAGGGTATTCTCACAATAGACAAATTATTTAGTACATTTTCGTTGGCAACCATTGAAGGTATAGACAGAGATTTTGAAATCCCACAGTGGTTATTTTTTAAAAAATAAATATTTACGAATTAAACATTATTTAACTTCTTCTTGACTCTATCTAGGGAAGATCAACCTTGAATTCACTTTAGCGAGATCTGTACATGAAATCCCAAAGATTAGGAGCCTCATTTCAGCTTGTTACTCACAAGTTTAGATTCAATCTATACCAATTCCTGTACTTGCAAAACGTTAACCATTTTGCAAAAAGTCAACAGACATGGACTAGAATAGTATCCTTGACAACTCGTTGCCATCCACTAGATGTATAAACCACTTTGAGCTTACCAAGAAAATCCTTTTCTGATGGTGTATGACCCCTCAAATAATATCTTCCTGGGGACATTCTTGTAACATATTCATCATCACCTTGCGACATCGATAGTGATTGCCTTTACAACAAGTGCGGTACTATTCAAAGGCCATGTGGAGTGGAGTTCAAAGGCCATGCGTCACTATGTGTGACCCCTACAGCATGTTGATGGACGCCGATCTACACCAATTTGTAGCCCCCGTTCGCCCATGGCATGGACGACGTCGACGTGTGCGTGACATCATGCAAAGGACGTACATACACGTTCTGGGGTCAAAGGCCTGTAACGGCCAATCGGATCCACAAGAGGGGTATTTAAACTAATCTATTTCTTCAGCTCATTTCCCTGTCATGGTTTCCCTTAGTGGTTGTCTGAGAGTGCGTTCCTGATAGTTTGTTTCTGGTTATTGACTTTGGCTTCGTTTTGACTTCCCTGTATTCTGGTATCCTTGACTTTTGGCTTTCCCTCATCGTTGTGTCTCCTTCTGTGTCCCTGACCTCAGCAAGTATTCTGACTATTCTCTGGTACGTTAAATCCAGCCATTCTAAGGCCCGGTGAGACGTTACCTTTTAGTCCTAGGTCTGATATAATTCTACGTACTGGATTATCTAGTAATCCTGACTTCTCTAGTTGCCGAAGGAAGTATGGACATATTGATACCCTATCGCATTTGTGGTGGGGATAACCCAGTATTTGTTCCGATCTAGAAGGAGATCATTCACCTAGTGTCTAAAATTATAGGTACCAAACTAACCTTTTTTGACACTCTTGGGTGTATATCCTACTAATTTCCTACGCAATCGAAACAAGTGTCTCCCTGATATTAAGTCCGGTCACCTTGCTTTTAGAACAGATCAGAGAGCTTGAAGGAATGACCTATTCTTCAACATACTCCATATCCTCACACAATCGAATACGAAAACTTTATACTAAATTGATGGTATCACACCCCTAAAAACCTCAGGGGTCTGAGAGGTAATCTAGCAAAGAACATAGAGATGCACATATATTTGTGTAGTGTTACGTACCCAATCAGCACGGCAATCTGATATTACTTTGTGGGACATGCACCGCGTATGGGTAACCCGAGTTCTAGAGATGTGATCACTGCTTGCATTTAGAGCACATTCTTAAAGGTGCACAAGGAGACACCACATAATTTCCAGTTTTACATGATTCACAATAATCTGGGATCCCAATTCACACGCGTCCTGGGTCGCACCTAAATCACACCATTGGCCCCATTTATGTGCCCTATTGTAGTTTCTGTTCCTAGTACCCATTTAGTACACTCCTTGTTCCTATCTGATTTACTCTGAGTACTTCTGTAACACTTACTGGCTAGTTTATATGTCCCTCTGTTAATCTGTTTCTTGACTCCAGCTAGTTTTATGATTTTTATGTCTTTCCATTATCCTGACCTTGGCTTGTGTTTGACTACGATTTCTCTCTTTTGTACGTTAAGCCTGGCCACTCTAAGGTCTGGAAATATCAGTGGTGGAACTACCACACCAAGGCCCTCATGTTTTGGGGTGCCCATCGGGTGGCCCATCCATTTAGGGCCACCCGATGACCATTATTGCTAAATAGGGGTCCAGTCGGGCACCGTGGTCCTTTAAGAGCCTGACCAGGCCCCTGCAGTATGGGTGATGCCAGCAGGAATCGAGGGAGGTCCCCACAGGCAGGTCCTATCGAGGCCCCCGGTCTGGTGCTGCAGCCCTCTGGCAGTGTTTATGTGTACGTCCATGTTTGTGTGTACCTGATTCTGTGTGTACCAGTGTGTATGTAGGTATGTGTATCTTTGAGTGTCAGTGTTTATCTCTGTGTGTGCCTCTGTGTGTATGTGTTTATTCCATCTGTGTGTGTTAGTGTGTGCATGTGTAGGTATGTGTATCTGTGTGTCCCAGTGTGTATCTGTGTCTATGTGTGCATATGTGAGTGTCAATGTGTATCTGTGTCTGTGTATATGTGTGTCTGTGTATGTATCTGTGTGCCAGTGTATGTGTGTGTGTGTGTGTGTGTGTGTGTGTGTGTACCAGTGTATATGTGTAGGTATGTGTATCTGTTTGTGTGTATATCTGTGTGTGACTCTATGTGTATGTGTGTGTACCAGAGTCAGGGCCGGTGCAAGGATTTTTGCCGCCCTAGGCAAAATAAAAACTTGCCGTCCCCCCCCCGTGACATCACAATGCCCACCATATGATCTGCCATATGAACTAACACCAGTGCTGCAAACAGTGTGTGTTTACATTAAAAAGCCTGCAGGGACAGGCTATAGACACCAGAACCACTTTATTAAGCTGCAGTGGTTCTGGGGACTATAGTGTCCCTTTAATGTGAAGTAAATTAGAGATTAGTGTCACTAATAATATACTAGATTGCCTACTTACAACCAGATGAGGATGATGATGAGCTCTGGCTGCAGTTTGGCTCCACTAGTCTGGTGTAGAACAGGATCTCTGGAGGCTGTTTGTAACTGTGGTCACAAAATTCAATGTTCTGGGAGAACGGGAAGCAGCTCCATTTTTTGGGGCCCTTTACACAGCTCAAGGTCTGGGCTCCAGGGCCTGACGGTGAGTATGCCCATAAGGCCCACCCATAAGTCAACCTACATGTTCCACTCATGAGTTCGCTCACAGGGAGCGGAGTGTGCAGGGACACCAGTTTGTGTAGGTGATGCAGTGTGTTTGTGTGTAGTGGAAGCAGTGTGTTTTTGTGTAAGGGATAGAAAGCAGTGTGTGTTTGTGTATAAGGGATGTATTGTGTGTTTCTGGTTGTGTGTAAGGGATGCATTGTGTGAATCTGTGTTTGTATGCATAAGGGATGCAAGGTGTGTTTCTGTGTATGTAAGGGGTGCATTGAGTGTGTATAAGAGATGCATTGTGTTTCTGTGTGTATGTAAGAGAAGCAGTTTGTGTTTGCATGCGTGTGTAAGGGATGCATTGTGTGTTTCTGTGTATGTGTACAAAGGATGCATTGTCTTCATGTGTAAGGGTTGCATTGTATGTGTGTGTAATCGATGCGTTATGTGTTTCTCTGTGTGTAAGGGAAGCAAGTTGTGTTTCTGTATGTGTAGGGATGCATTGTGTGTTTCTGTGTATGTATAGGGATGCATTGTGTGTGTGTGTCACACACACACCCACCCTCCCTGTGTTCTTCTCACCCCGCCAGCCGGCCCTGACCAGAGTGTATGTGTAGGTATGTGTGTATAGAGTTCGTTCCACCTCCAGCAGCAGGTCTTCTGTTTACGCAACTCACAAGAGAGTTACCATGGGTTGCCATGGCAATGCTCCGCCATGCTTTATGTGCGGAGCACATCGTTGCCGTAGTAATCCGTGACAACAGTCTTGCAAATCGTGAGAGCAGAGGAACTGCTGCTGCTGGAAGTGGAACGAACATGAAGAATCCTGTAAGCAGCCAGCCCTTTACAAAATGCACACAGGACACCCCCTAATGAGTGGCACCCAGGGCGGACCCCTCCCCCACCCCTTCCCTCTACTTAGTACGCCATGGCCCAGACTGTATGAGCTGTCAAGACACAGACTGCTCAATGCAGCTCAATGAGAAGTCTTTGCAAAGCAGGTGCTCTGGGCTACTGCTGCCTCTTGAGTTTAGCTCCACTGAGCTAAGAAGACCAGGAAGTGACAAGCCTTGTTCTCTGTTTGAAAACCAAAGGGGTGTAACTCAGTAAATTCATAGTGTCAATTTCTACTGAAATCTGCACTTTCTGCAAAATTAAATAAAGAAGTCTTTATTTAATTTTGCAAAAAGTGCAGATTTCACCTCTTCACACATAAAACATTTCCGCTAGCTAAAGTGGTTTATGGGTCTAGAGTGTCCCTTTAACATGCTACAATCCTGTTGCTGTCTGTACCCATATTAATATTGTCGAACTGAAGGTTATAGTCATTTTTGAAAGCATGAATAGTTATATCTGAGATCTTTTGTTCTTTACTCGCCTCATGGTTTTTTGTCTATTTCAGAATGTTTCTCTACATCCTACAGGTTTTTTTTTTAACTTTTAACGGATTTCTTATTTTGCAGTCATTTGTTTTTTTTTTTTAATTTCCCTTCTTTTACATGTTTAGAGTGTGTATTACCCTATTGTGAGCCTGATATGTATTAGGCATAGAATTTCCAGGAATAAGCTAAATTTAGTTGTATTTACCATCATTTGTTTTCCTGGATATATCCATAAGAGCAAGGCATCCTTTCTCGATTATTCTTATTTCCTGGAATAATAGAATCTACCCGCTAAGTGGCGATATTTAGATATTTATAATTTAATTTCCTGTTCTAAACAGTCAAGGTGGTGGAGCTCGCCCTATTGTGATGCTGTCATGGAAAAAATTATAGAAAGTATGGCAAAAAAATTATTTGCTATTCTTCAAAATAGAAATATACAATGGACAGGAAGTTATGAGCCATTTTTGTATCATAGAGTCTGTAGGTAGAAAATGTAAATTATAAAAACAAAATCTACCTCTACTAGGAAGTAGTGAGTGATACAATGAAGTGCCTAAATTAGAAAGCAGCTCTGCACACAGTGGAATACCCTTTTTCCACAATAAATCTTAGATGTACGGGAAATGTATGGTATACAAGGTATACCAATTAATGGAGCGCTATAAAATGGGGATAGTGCAGGGGTTAAACTTACCCCATCAATTCAGTGTGACAACAAACTTGAAAGTGCAAATGGCATATATGGAAAAGAAAAAAAATATAAAGTTTATAGTGCAGATGGTCTGGAGCCTATATGGTATTGGCTCCGTAAAGTAAACCTTTTTGCTCTTAGGGCAGCAACACACCACTTCCTCACTGATGTTCCTCCAATCCTTTTTTGTATTTCTCTTGGAGGTCCAAAAACATTTTTACAAAACATAAATAAATAAAATAAACAGGAGAGTCCTGAAGCTTAGTAGCTATTTTAAGCTAAGCACAAATTTGTTTATTTAAAAAAAAATATATACCGAAACTCACATTTAGCTTACAAAAACATAATATATAAAATGAAAAACTGGTGTATAAGAAACCACAACAAATCCTTCTACACTAAAAAATATATTACATCTTTCAAAAATGCATATTGTGATATGAATTATTAAGAGTTAATACTGTTTAGGTTTCAACATTTTGCAGAAATATCCTATTTAAAAAATCCTTCTCAAATAATCTTTAACATAACATTTTTATACAGGGTGGAGTAATTTTTTTAACATATGAATTTCCATGAGCACTTCCTAAACAACTGTAATTTCCTGTAAAATGCGACAAGCAAATAGTGCATTAAATATATGCCAGCATTCCTGAATTTGCCGGGAGAGTCCGACATTTTGGGGTACTGTCCAAGCAAAAATAAGTCCTGGGGAGCTGTCTTACATTTTTAAATCTGGGGTCAGATTTCAAAATGCATTGTCATTGAGGAGGAAAGCTGACATTCAGCCTGGCAATCCTCTTTATGGGTGAAACTGCCTATTTAATGGGCAGCTCCACTCCATTGATGGACGGTTCTGCCATCTTCATGGGCAGAAAAGCACTCCGACCATTGCTCGGAGTGCTGTGCAGCCTCATCTGTCCCATGCCCACCTCCATCCTGGAAGGTGGCCATTGAGCACTGGCAGCTTTGGTAGCAATATGTAGCTTTCCTCACTATGACTTCCTTTTGCCAGATTTTCTTTGAAGTTCAGCTAAAAGTTTACGTGTCTCTCACACCTCATTGGAATACCTATATGGAGGTATAATGAATAACATCACTAAAAGTTTTTATGAGGCTCCTTGTCCTCCCACAGCCTGGCTCCCACTGGACAAATGACTAAGGCAGAGATTACACTCTTCCTTAACAAGAACACTTTATACCAGCAATAGATGTCACTCTCTGCCTGTCACCACCACCCACTACTGCTCAGGCTAATGATTCCTTATTAGCCAAGCATTAAAAGATTTAAAACATTTTAACATTAAAGGGAAGGGTGGTGCCAATGAACGCCAGACATTACAACAACTTCAGTAAGACAAAGCATGTCCCTAGAGTGCATAGAGTGTCCTATTAAGTTGCTACGACAAATCAACTTTCACCAACACTGCAGAACACAATGGGGCAGTGAGATCATGCAAATCTGGCACAAATGGATTTTCCAACTGCTATGAGGATTTGGGCATCAGGTAGTTCAGCTAGCATTCTCTGTAATAATCCTCCTAAAATTCGACTATACAGTAGGACCTCGGTTTACAAACTCCTCGGTTAACATAATTTTCGGTTTACAAATGAAAATCCATTGAAAATAATGCCTCGGTTTACAAAGATTTTTCACAATACAAAGCAAGTTTCCCCAGGATGCATTGCGCCTGGGAGGTTTATAGCACCGCCCACCGCATGCTGGAGCCTGTGGGTAGCACATGGTGTCGAGTGTGGAGGTGTTGGAGCGGATTTTGCATTGAATTTTTGAGCCATTCTGGAAATTGTTTGCAGTTGTTTTGGGACTTTTTGGTGCATTTCTCAAGCTGTGGAAAGTAAGGGAGCTGAGCTTCGTCGTTTGCATGCCTTTTATTGTGCGTTCTGCATTGTGGGTTGGTTTCCATGCCAGCTCATTTTGACTTTTTTCTGACCTCCAGAACGGATTCATTGGTTTTCAGTGCATTCCTATGGGAAACCGCCTTTCGGTTTACAAAAAAATCGGTTTAAGAAATGTCCCGAGAACGCATTAAATTCGCAAACCGAGGTCCCACTGTATTTCCCATGTTTCCCATTTGCCTCTGCCACCTTACAGCTGGAGGGCCAATGATTGAACAAAAAATATGTTTGGCATTATTTATACTAACAGTTATATGTGAGATACTACATATACATATTTACATGCATACATTATACATTATGTAATTGTTATATAATTCTCTTTTTACATGTTATATAATTATCGACTTGCACAGCAGGTACCCAGTATTTACAGAAATTTAAATACTAGCAAAAATGGACTTTTAGTAGTTGATTTACATGTATGCTACACGCTTAGCGTGTGGGGGTTACAAGCGTCGAGGTAGGTTAGAAAGACGTGTGCAGCTGATCTTTGACTGCGTTCCACATTCTTAATAGAATTCTAAAGTGAGAATTGCTATGAATTCAAATTAAATTTCTAATTTTAAGGGTAACTGTCATGCTTTTCATAAGCAATGCTCATTTTAAAGAACATTACATTCTATCTATATATTGTATATGTATAAATTGGAAGAAAACCCTATTTAAAATTATGTTTTTTTTTTTTCCCTGCAGAAAGCACTGTATCATTACTAGCCCATTCCCTTTTTACTCTGCCTACCAGCATCCCCCTTCATGAGACACCAATGTTGGGGAGTATGATAATCACCCAATATACATGAATCCCATTGTACAGTGCTGCGAAATTTGTTGGCACTTTATAAATAATAAGAATGACATTTACTTTAATATCTTCTGCATTTCATCGTAAGACTATTTAAGTTCCACACAAAACATACCTAGACATATTTTATATCTGTGTGTGTATATATTATAGAAAATCTATGAACAGGCAAAAGCTTTATATACTTAATACATTTTTCTGGTCTGGAGTTGCTCTCTAAAAGCACCACTAAATTACAATTGGCAATGAAGGGACCCACCGCACCCCCCGGTGTCTACAATTATCAGTAAAATAACTTTGTTCCTTTTTCTGGTTTAGCAACAAAATGGAAGCTATTGTTGTACAATTGGTTCCAGATGTCAGGAAACCCCTATGGCTACACTGGGGAATATGCTTTTGGCATTGCCTTTGGTCGAAGCATGCAATAAGCTAAATTCTGCCTTGGAAAGCTAATGTCTACAGAACATTTTATCAGGCCTTTAGCAACCAACCAATATTTAAAAATATTATACTGAAGTAAGTGTATTTTGCGAAGATTTAATTTTTAGCTAAATATGCTTGGCTAATATTTATATATTTAATATTATTCCTTTTAACAAGTACATTGTTAAGATGGCATTGTTGTCCAGAGCTACTTACAAAAGAATAGTATTTAAACATTGAAAAGGGACAAGTAATGACTAGAATGGAACTAGCTTAATGCTGTGTCTTTAAAAACGGTATGTAGATAAATGGTTGAAGATTGAGAGGAGGCAGGGAAGTGAAAGTACATAGGCAGGATTTAAGATCTCTATGAAAACTCAGATGGATATAGCTAATATGACAAAATAGTTCCTTCCAAATACAGGCAAAAATAGTTAAAACAGGAGGCAGCACGGGGTGGAAGAGAAAAGGAACGTAGAGGGAGACAAGTAAAGATAATAAGTGGGATTTCAGTTTTTTAAGGATTTATATACAAGACTAAGGTTGATAAACTGGAAACCAATGTGGTTTGTACTTTAAAGGGAAATATTCTCACAGTAAACTATGCTTCTAGTTCGCTACTTTGGCTTTAAAGGGACACTATAGTCACCCAAAAAACTTTAGCTTAAAGGACCACTATAGGCACCCAGACCACTTCAGCTTAATGAAGTGGTCTGAGTGCCAGGTCCAGCTAGGATTAACCCTTTTTTCTATAAGAGAAACTGCTATGTTTATAATAGGGTTAATCCAGCCTCTAGTGGCTGTCTCATTGACAGCCGCTAGAGGTGCTTCCGCGCTTCTCACTGTGATTTTCTATGGACTGGCGCACATGCGCATTCAGCCGATGACGTCGCTATGGAGGAGGAGAGGAGGAGGAGAGTCCCCCGTCCAGCGCTGGAGAAAGAGGTAAGTTTAACCCCTTCCTCCCCTAGTGTTTTCCTGGCACTATAGTGGTCCTTTAATGAAGCAGTTTGGTTGTGTAGATCATGCCTTTGATGTCTCACTGCTCAATTCTCTGCCATTTAGGAGTTAAATCACTTTTGTTTTTGTTTATGCAGCCACAGCTCCCCTGACTGTGACTGACACAGCCTGCATGAAAACAAAATTGTTTAATTTTCAATCAGATGTTAACTTACTTTAAATATTTGTATCTCCTGCTCTGTAAATTGAGCTTTAATTAAATACAGGAAGCTCCTTTCGGGGTCTAGAAAGCTATTAGCAGATTAGGAGATAATAAATTAAACAGAATATGCAATGAAGAAAGTGTAAACATTAGATGACTCTTTACATGATGTGTTTAGGAAGGTTATGTAAGTCACATGCAGAAAGGTGTGCCTAGGGCTGCATAAACAAAGTAATTTAACTCCTAAATGGCAGAGAATTGAGCTGTGAGACTGCAGGGGCATGATATATACACCAAAACTGCTTCATTAAGCTAAAGTTGTTTTAGTGACTATAGTGTCCCTTTAAGTTTTTGAGGGCAGACAAAACATATTTACAGTAAAAGTTTTAATATATGTAGAATTGTGCCTACTGGAAAGTTATTTTTTTTTTAAATCACAATTTTTCCACGGTATTTAGCTATACATTGTGTTAGCAAGTGCATACATTGCATGTTGTATTTAGGATGCGGCTGATTTCTAGATGGGGGTGGCAGTTATGGATTTGGAGTACTTGCCCTTCTGTCCAATTTGTTTTCCAAAAAATCCTCATAGTGGGACAGCACGTTAAAATTAGGCTGTCAAGATTTAAATTGGGAGACTTTGGGAGCCTCTATGGGCTGGCCGATAGAAACAATTTCAGGCTACAGAGGTCAAGGTCTAAATACAATTCTTAATGTTTTAACAACACCTGAGCTAATTGTTTGATAGTTTAAAGCAGACTTTCTATTCTATAAAAGCAAGATAAAAAGGAGAAATATATAACTGCAGCTTATCAATACTTTGATATATTACATTCATATTATGTTCAATATTTGTTAATAAAGTCCATTCTGGCTGCAAGCCTTGCTGAAAAGTCAAATCAAAATATTCGATTTTGGGTTCCCATTGAAATTGAAGTCCTTATCGTGTCAGCTGAAAAGTCAGTGGGGATGGAAAAATTTCTTTCTCTGTGTCTTCTCGATGTAAGCTGTCGATAGACTTCCATCGTTTTCTTTCTGAAATGATTCCCAACCAGGACATATAGAAGTGGGTTGATGCAACTGTTACTGTAGGCAATATACGTTGAGATTTGGTTGCCAATTTCAAAAAAGTTAGATAAAGCACACTTGGGAAAAACCTCTAAGATATCCAGAGTATCAAGAAAGGTGAAAATATGAAAAGGGAGCCAGCACACTATGAACAGCAAGAGGACGGTGAAGATTAAAACTGTGGCTTTTTTTTCTGTATTAAACTCCTTAAACTTCTGCATTGAATTGTTACGCAGAACATTCATAATCTGTAAGGTGCAATATGCAATCCCTATCATTGGTATCAAGAAGCCCACGATGTTTAGCTGGAAATTTGAGGCAACGTGCCATTCCTTACTCGCATTAGTGAGACACATGGTGGTGTTGAATTGTTCAACATATGTGACAACGCGAAAGGCAACTTTAGGAATGCTCATCAAGACCGCAAATATCCAAATAATTAAACAGTTAAGCTTCGCGCAACCAGTTCCTCTCATGCGCCCAGATGACATTGTCTTCACAAGTGCTAGGAATCGGTCTATGCTGACCATCAATAAAAAGTAAATGCTGGCATACATGTTTATCTGTGCCTGGGCATTAACAACAACGCAAAGAAAACTTCCAAAGACCCAGGTGAATGAGTTGGATATGTAAAGGGCCCAAATGGGTAAACTACAGACGAAAAGCAAGTCTGCAGCAGCTAAATTTGCAAGGTAGATTTCAGCCACTGTACTTCGACTCTTGTGCAACAGGTAGACACAAATCACAAGCAAGTTTTCTATGAAACCCAAGACAAAAATGATCCACATGTAAACTGGTTGGTATTCAGTTAGCCAGCCTATGCCTTCAGGAGTAATGCACGAATCTAATGGCTTCTTTGTGGAATTTGTGATGGCATAAGTGGTGATCTCTAACAATGGATTAAAGATTTCTGTTGTTTCTTGCACCAGAGCCATTGTCCTGTAAAATATGAAAAAATATGGATTAAATTTCACCTAGCAAACATGAGCATTTACAAATATTTTCTTGCATAAAATCAGGACGTTTTCCACACTTCTAAACTAAATCGAATATTCTGTTTATTTATTTTTTCTTAAAATGTACATAGGAGCCAACAGTACCAAATTTGTGGGGGCAGTCCCTCAGTTTGGAGTGCTGTCCCTGCAAAACTGGGTCCCATGCACCTTTCCCACATTTTGAAATCTGTCGGGTACGTGCAGGTGGAGACTGCACAATAGGACCATGGACTCTCTTAAACGACAGGATATCAGTCAGCCTGGCCCCCCTCTTTAGAAGCGGGCCTGCCTCTTTCATGCATAGAACTTCCCCCTGTTATGGTCAAATCCATCCCCTGCTGTGCCCTGGGCAGCCTGATCTCTCACCTGTCCACCTGGCAGTTCATGGAACGTGGGCAGGCAAAATGCACAGTTATAAGAGCAACTGTTCAGACATGAAATGGTACACAAAGGGAATTAACTGGACAACATCGAAAGTTTCTAGGACAGTGGGACATGAGTGGGCCATGTAGTTAAAGTATGTTAAGGATAACTTTATTCCACCCACACTGGGAGATCCTCAAGCCACTTTTTTTTCTTAGAGTGGGTGGAATAAAGGTACCCTTAATATACTTTAACTACATGGCCCACTCATGTCCCACTGTCCTAGAGGCTTTCCATGAACTGAACTGTTTGTGAATAGCCAGATTACAAACCTTTGTAGAGATTAGACTGACTTTAAAAGCTAACAGAATGCAACTTAATGGAATAGCAAACCAAGAAAGTGAGCTCATATGCAATACCCCTTTCTACGTTGATAAGGGCCGTGGGCCTGAAACATTTGTACTTTTGTGTCCTCCATTAAACATTTGGGTAGCACTAGTACACCCATAAATATCACTTTGCTGCTGAGTTCACTTTCCTGACTATATGTGGTGTTGTATACTGCTTTAGGTCAACTGTGCAGGGGCGGAATGACAGTGGTTTCTTTTCCTTCTATAACGTTTTTTAGGTACTGCACTAACCAACTCCTTAGCCTAATTTTTGCATCAATGAAATTGCAAATACAAAATAATCAACAGAATGCGCCTTCTGGACATAGCTTAATGGGTTTCATATAACATTTTGTTCCAATTGAAACTGTCATATGTGGACAACTGAATATGATCAAACCTTTAGGCATTTAGTGAATATTATCTTATATAAACTTGGATTTCACAGCTAGAAATGTTTTAATTCAGATGTAATTTATTAAGGTATGGAACTCGTTTCTCTTGCTGCACTCACTGAGAACTGACAGTTCGTCTTAAACTATCCCAGTAGACAACCCTGCTTGCTAGCTGCTCATCTAGAATTTGGAGTACTCTAATTCCGCCAAATGGCCTATGACCTTACAACCTGCAAGAGACAATGGAGGCTGAGACAAAAAAGGAAGAGGTGGAGAATTAAAGGTTTCATAATAAAAATATCAGAAGAAAGCACAACACACAAATCAATAAAAAAAATCCGAAAGTCTCCCTGTATCTTTAAAATAAAAAAAAGCAAATCGTGAGCTGCCATATCCAAAAATCACAATAAAACAAAAAATAAAAAATAAAACACTGGCAGCACTCTAGGGATTATCCCTTAACCGCTACAGCTTGATAAGCGAGGAGTAGATATCCCATGCGTAAAACAAATCGCTATAACTGAACAGGCCGACATTTTTTACAAAAAATGTGCAAGATAATTGTCTGCCATGCCTGAATAATGTCATGCTGTTACATGTTATGTCTATACCTGATTACACGGTCGTGGCAAAGTACCTGTGTCTGTCCTATGCCAACTTAAAAAGAATTATAAAAAAAATATTATCCCTTAAAACTATTTCACTTAGAAGTTTAATAGTGAAAAGAGAAAATAGTTAAGTTATAATATCCTTGCTGGTAAAACAACCCCATTAAAATCAATTGTTACATAGCTGAACAGAGACATGTGTCCATCAAGTTCAGCCTTTCTCACATCTGTTTTTACTGTTGATCCAAAAAACCCAATTCGAAGCGCTTCCAATTTTGCAACAAATTTGGAAAAAGTTCCTTCTTGACTTCATAATGGCAGTCAGATATCTCCTTGCATCATGAAGCTATTACCCAATGAATTAAAAAAGATATCCCTAAATATAATGGTGACATTAAAATCCTTTAAATGTATAATGGTGAGACTTATTTCTAAGGCACACTAACATTTCCCATTCATAACTGTCATAGTTCTCACCGTGCCAACCAGACATGGTGCAGTCTTCATTTCTCTCTTAAAAAAAATACATTATTTTATAAGGCTGAAAACAAACTAAAGGATGCTAAATAAGAATTAATTAAATGTTTACCGTTGTTCCTTCTATTTGTGTGAGGAATAATTGTGTGTGTGTGTATATATATATATATATATATATATTTATATAGGTATCCAAAAGAGGTAGCAGCACTCACGGACTTTAAAAGTTCTAGTCTTTATTAATTCATATTAAAAAAAAAAAATCACGATCAACGTTTCAGTCCACCAAACGGGACTTTCCTCAGGATCAATATTATTAATGGTATTGATCCTAAGGAAAGTCCTGTTTGGTGGACTGAAACGTTGATCGTGATTTTTTTTCTTAATATGAATTAATAAAGACTAGAACTTTTAAAGTCCGTGAGTGCTGCTACCTCTTTTGGGTATCTGGACAATCAAGCCCTGGCTAAGCACCAGGCACACAAGGGATAACATAGCGTGAGTGTAAGAATTTTTTATTTTTCTTTATATATTTATATATATATATATATTTCACAGTATAAGGTTAAATTAGCATCAGATGTGTCCACATTTTAATAAACAGGTAGAAATAGCAACCAAGTAGTGAAAGTGCCATTTCGTTTCTCTCTGATTTTATAAAAGACTGTATCTTTCCAACGACGAGAACTGAACCTTTATTACCAAAAGGTTCTATCCTACTCAAACAAATTATGGCAGCTGCTGTTTGCTGAGCTAATCCTGTTGATTGCAAGCAGATTCTACTTTTTGTTAATCTAATATTTGTATTTGTCAAGGTTATGTTTCTTTACTTGGTCCATGCAGGCAATATGCCCACAAAGATTGGGAAGCTTTACAACATTACCTACATTTTTATGATGTCCAATGAAAATTCAATTGGTTCTGGTTACATATGTGTGCTTTGTGGACAGTTTCCAAACTTTTTGATGACACATTAAAAGTACGATGAATAGAATTAAATAAATGAATAAATATTTGTGCTCCAACAATTCTTTACTGTTTGTCTTTCCATCAAGTTACACAAATTGATCAAAGGATAATGGGAAACAGATCCCCAAGCTGAACATTTCATGGTTACGAAATTAAAAGTGATTTTCAAAGTTAAGAATCTGAACTGGGGGAATTTCCAATTCAGCTGCTTTGCCTTCAATGTGAAATTCACTTTGTATTTACTAGACATGTGCAATTCGTTTCGTTCCGAATGTAAATTCAGACGAGTTTCGGCAATTCGGATATTCGGATGCTTCTGAATTTCCGAAGTGCTTTGGATTTCTGAAAAGTGGCCAAGCAAGAGAGAGAGTGAAAATTACCTGAATGATGACAGGAATCTAGTCCAATAAGCTAATTCCTGGCACTGGGAGCCCTATAGATGTGTAAGTGGTTGATGTGGCAGTCCGGGAACCTAACCCTAGATGTAGGGGTGGGGTTAGGGAGCCATACAGATGTGCAAGTGGTTGTGGTGGCAAGAGAGGGATACTTACCAATGTACAAAGTGCCACATTTTTTTTACTTACCCGAATTTCCCAACCAAATTTTTTTGCCCATGCACATCCCTAGTATTTATTTTGAATTCCCAACATCTCACTTTCGTGAATAACCTTGTTTTGTTTTTATGTTGAAGTTCACCATAGTGTAAGAACAACCCCAGCTTAGATTATTACTTTTTAAAAACACTGAGCAGTTGGCTGAGAAGCACCTTAGTGTGTATAAATGGGATCTGGTGAAGTAACAAACTTTATTTGTGGATAAGATACATATACAAACAGGTATTTCCATTTCTCTTAAAATATTGCTTACTTAAATGGATACTACAGATCCATAAAGCACTTTAGCTTGCTGAAAAGCTTTCTGTGTGAAGAGTCTGTCCTCTTTTTCTATTTTGCAAAAAGTGCAGATTTCAATAGGAATTGACCCTTTTATAAATTAACCTTGTTACACCCCTCTGGTTTTCAAGCAGACAACTGATCCTGTTACTTCCTGGTTTGGTTAGCTCAGAGGAGCCAAACTCAAGAGGCCGCAATTGTCCAGAGCACCTGCTTAGCAAAATACTTTTTATTGAGCTGATTGTCAGCCACAGAAAGTCTGGGCGGGGTTAGAAGGGGAGCGATAGCAAAAGAAGCAGACAAGAGAACTGCAGGTTTTCTCAAACTGTTTTTAGATATACCCCCAATGAAAAAATGCATAATTAAAGACATGCAAGTTTTCATTTGTGTTATCTCTACTAAACAGTGATTTATATTTATTTTGTATTTGACCAGTTGAGTGTTCCTTTAACCACCATCTATAATTCAGAACCTACTGCTTGTTTACTATGTTTATTTTACCAACTCTGACTTAGTGAAAAAATCTGGTGCAACACTTCTGATTTCCTATGCCTGTTTCTGGTGGTTTATTTGTGTCTTTTTCATCCGGAAGGTGAGAAGTTATCTTCTTTACAGAGACATCCATCACTGGTTATTTGCTACAGCGGTCGTTGGACTTGCCGTTATCAGCTACAGTAAACAGATATTGCAAGGATGGTGAGCAAGGCATGGGGTGGGAGGATGATTAAACATTTTCGTTATTACAACATTTTCCATGACGCTGCATTTTTTGCAGTTTTATAAAACATCTGAATTTCCAGGTCACTGCTTTTAGCTCAGGAGCTGGCACGAACGTTACCTTTCAAAAATCATTCATCAGACTTTTTTCCTACTAAATAGAGCGTTTGAAATTTAGGAGTTTATACATTAAAGGGAAGCAGTCACTCTTCTAAAATTTACTCGAAGGAATAAAAACATCGCAAATCACCTATAACTTGGGTTAACCTATTTTTCATGAAACTTGGATTAACCTATTTTTCATGAAATTTGGGTTAACCTATTTTCTTTCAAATTTATATTAAAGATTTAAGAAACAAAATCAAAATCTAGTTTAAAGGACCACTCTAGGCACCCAGACCACTTCAGCTTAATGAAGTGGTCTGGGTGCCAGGTCCAGCTAGGGTTAACCCATTTTTTAATAAACATAGCAGTTTCAGAGAAACTGCTATGTTTATTAATGGGTTAAGCCTTCCCCCAAAGCCTCTAGTGGCTGTCTCATTGGCAGCCACTAGAGGCGCTTGCGTGCTTCTCACTGTGATTTTCACAGTGAGAGCACGCCAGCGTCCATAGGAAAGCATTGTAAATGCTTTCCTATGCGACCGGCTGAATGCGCGCGCAGCTCTTGCCGCGCGTGCGCATTCAGCCGACGGGGCGGAACAGAGGAGGAGAGAAGGAGGAGAGCTCTCCGCCCAGCGCTGGAAAAAGGTAAGTTTAAACCCCTTTCCCCTTTCCAGAGCCGGGCGGGAGGGGGTCCCTGAGGGTGGGGGCACCCTCAGGGCACTATAGTGCCAGGAAAACGAGTATGTTTTCCTGGCACTATAGTGGTCCTTTAAACATTGCAAAGCACGGCAAACTTTACAAATCAAGAGAAGAAATAGAAACATTGTTTAATTTCTCCTTGTCTCTGTATGCTTTGTGTATGCTGACTGCCTGGTGCAAAAAACAGATACTATAAAACAGCTTTCTACCCTATGCTTACCTTTTGTGTCACTATACCCCACTCCCTCTAGCATGTAAGCTCATTGAGCAGGGCCCTCAATCCCTCTGTTCCTGTGTGTCCAACTTGTCTTGTTACAAATACATGGCTGTTAGTCCACCTATTGTACAACGCTGCGGAACTTGTTGGCACTTTATAAATATTAATAATAATAAAAGTGACATTAAAGGAACACTATAGTGACCTAAATTACTTTAGCTAAATAAAGCAGTTTTAGTGTATAGATCATTCCCCTGCAATTTCACTGCTCAATTCACTGTCATTTAGGAGTTAAATCACTTTGTTTCTGTTTATGCAGCCATAGCCACACCTCCCCTGGCTATGATTGACAGCGCCTGCATGAAAAGAAAAACTGGTTTCACTTTCAGACAGATGTAATTTACCTTAAATAATTGTATCTCAATCTCTAAATTGAACTTTTATCACATACAGGAGGCTCTTGCAGGGTCTTGCAAGCTATTAACTTAGCAGGGGATAAGGAAATCTTAATTAAACAGAACTTGCAATAGAGAAAGCCTAAATAGGGCTCTCTTTACAGGAAGTGTTTATGGAAGGCTGTGCAAGTCACATGCAGGGAGGTGTGACTAGGGTTCATAAACAAAGGTATTTAACTCCTAAATGGCAGAGGATTGAGCAGTGAGGCTGCAGGGGCATGTTCTATACACCAAAACTGCTTCATTAAGCTAAAGTTGTTCAGATGACTATAGTGTCCCTTTAAGAATGTCACACCCAGCTACAGGGTGAAAAAGCACGTATGTCTAATTTTTTTTTTTTTTCACACCTCACAAATGTATATTTGTTAAATATACGGTTATTAAGCGTAATTACTAAATCTCACTGCTTAATGAATATTCTCTCTTTCTCTCTACTGCATCCAACATGACCACTTCAGTGATCTGAAGTGGTCGTGGTGTTAGAAGCCGGTATGAGCAGTGAAACACTATTAACTGTATGCTGTGGACTAGTTGTTCCCCCAGTTCACCCAGTTCACCCAGTCCACCTGACATTGGCAGTCAAGAACTCTGTTCTGGGCTGGCAATGTCAATTCTGTGCATAAAATGCATGTGTTGTCAGCATGATAATCCTACCCTTGCAGGCAGATCCCCTTCAAGGGGAAGATTACTATTCACTCCCACATTGCACTCCCTCCTGGCTCCCTCAGTTGCACATTGTTTTTTTTTCTTCTTAAAAAATCCTCCTTACCCTTTCCCTCATCCCGCTAGCCCGGAGCGCGAGCATGCGCATTGAGCTGGCAAAATGGTCCAATCACAGGTTTCTCTATGAGATTAGTGCCGAGAGTTTCACCAGGTGCTGGATTCCAGGTAAGTAAAAGTTTTATTTTGCAGATTTTACTGCAAATTAAGGGAGGCTTCTAAATAGTCCCCAATAGGAAGTTTTACACAGAAAATCTCTCCCCCTTCAAAAGGGTTAGAGCAGGGGTGCCAAAAGGTAGATTCCCAGATGTTGTAGAACTACAACCCCCATGATGCTTTGCATGCCTTTAGACTGCCTTTAGAATGATTTTACAATGGCAAAGCATCATGAAAGCTGTAGTTTTTCAGACATCTTGGGATCTTTCTTCTGGGCACCCCTCAGTTAGAGTAACTCTTTAAGAATTACTTCAATGCATCTAACATTTAACTAAGGAAATTACAAAGTTTTAGACCTGTGAGGATTATTCACTAAACAGATTCTAGTCACTTGAAAAAACGGTAAAATGTATGATAATACCACTTGGGATAATTTGGGGAAATTCTCCAACTCCTCTACAAACACAGCTGGGATATTTTTGTTTCAATTTTACAATTTGCTTTCTAATTTACTGCAATTCACTTTTTAGTAAATAAACCCTCAAGCATCTATCACTGATTGAGAATGAACTAACTGTGGTGGCTAAATATTTTTTATTTTGTGTATACATTAATTGACATTGATATAAAACATCACGACTTGCAAGTAGAGGAGGATAAATGGTTGTTAAAGAAATGACACAAACATTCCTATTTTAGGTTAAACTGCCTAATTCGGAGTCATCAGTTTGTAGATCATATTAAATTATTTTGCAATCTGCAGATTTTCAAACTGACTCAGTAAAAGTGAGAATGACTCGATCTCCAGCTTTAGCAGAAAAAAAACATGTTTTAAAAATTCTGTTTTTGTTTTTTTAAATGGTACATAATAATTACCAGAGGCATTGGACGATGTGCTCTGTTATAACTCAAAAGGAGTGATGAGCTGTCTGACACATGGGTGCCATCGTCATATAATAACACAGGATGGAGTGAAAATGTGATTATCGAATGGAGATTAACATGATGGATACAATATGTGAATCATCTTCTGTTCATTGCTTTATACTGGGTAGGGATCATTACTAACAAAGTGAAATTTCAATATTGTGTTTTGTCAGCTTTAAACACCCAGTTGGTATTGCCAAACGGACACATGTTCCTCTCTGACACAGGAGCTGGACTCAGTCGGTGCCGAAAGGCTTAACAAACAGCTTGATTTCAGCTTAATCATACAGATGGTTTTTGTGTCAAACTACCTAAAAGCAGCTTGACAAAAACTGACGGGACTGCACGAATGGACTCCTTGCACAATATACAGTATTATTATATTTAGTAGACCTGTGCATGGCACATATTCGGTCTGGCCATATAACTTACAAAATGTAGTTTGCGTAGTCCCATAGTTATCATTGTAGAGGTTATTGTCCATGCAAAATATTTGGGGAAATGATTCCAGTGAACTAGAACGGTGCTAAAAATAATCTAATTATTATTTACATTATCAATACTCTGATAGATGCATTTTCTGCCATTTGGTTTACAGATCAAGTAAAAAAACTTACTGACATAAGGAAAACTACAAGAAACAGAAATAAATATATAATTTAGAACTCTCTCTCTCTATATATATATTGTGACAAAAAGCAAGGAATTGTGCTGTATGGATGGTATATATCTCCCCAAATTCTGCAAGGTGTAATGCAGAAGATTATGTGTAATGTGTAAGATTACCCCAAGAGAAATGTGTTGTTTTAAAATGAATATTGCACTTTATATAAGTGTATGTTTGGGCCCTGGGGTGGAGCACTTGGAGAGTAGGGTGGACCAGAGCTCCACTCCACACTTTGGAGGTTGTTTGGAAACTGCAGTTGAGGAGTCCAGTTCCAGAGTTTCGAAACTCTGATTTACCTCACCTGAAAAAGATTGTTAATTGCAGGTGTTATTAAGTACTCCCCTGCCAAGAAGGAAGAGAGTTGTGTTTTTGCTCCCTGTGAGTGGAAAGAGAAATCTGAAAGAACCTAAAACAGTAAGGTGGATATTTATGTTGGGAATGGACAAGCCATCCAACCCAGTTAGTTTATTATTTTGTAAGTTAGTTCTCAGAAGAGCAAGGATTTAGTTGAATTTTGGAGCCACAATAAAAAGAGCATGTGATTTTTCATCATCCAGCATGTGAAGGGTCTCTGAAGCCTGAAAAGACTGTGTTTAACAACCTAATCCCAAGACAAGGTACCAAAGGAAAGGAGTACTTTTGTCACCCAAAACAATAAATAAAATGTGTATGTGTATGTATCTATATTACCATTTACTGGTTTTCCCCCACTGTTGATCATTTCTCCATTGGTCTGTCAATAAAGTTAACATTTAGTATCTGTACTATATCCATCAATCAACTTTTTTCCCATCAATTGTCTTTTTGACATTCAGAAGCCCAAATAGAAACATAGAAACATAGAATGTGACGGCAGATAAGAACCATTCGGCCCATCTAGTCTGCCCAATTTTCTAAATACTTTCATTAGTCCCTAGCCTTATCTTATAGTTAGGATAGCCTTATGCCTATCCCATGCATGCTTAAACTCCTTTACTGTGTTAACCTCTACCACTTCAGCTGGAAGGCTATTCCATGCATCCACTACCCTCTCAGTAAAGTAATACTTCCTGATATTATTTTTAAACATTTGTCCCTCTAATTTAAGACTATGTCCTCTTGTTGTGGTAGTTTTTCTTCTTTTAAATATAGTCTCCTCCTTTACTGTGTTGATTCCCTTTATATATTTAAATGTTTCTATCATATCCCCCCTGTCTCGTCTTTCCTCCAAGCTATACATGTTAAGATCCTTTAACCTTTCCTGGTAAGTTTTATCCCGCAATCCATGAACCAGTTTAGTAGCCCTTCTCTGAACCCTCTCTAAGGTATCAATATCCTTCTGAAGATACGGTCTCCAGTACTGTGTACAATACTCCAAGTGAGGTCTCACCAGTGTTCTGTACAATGGCATGAGCACTTCCCTCTTTCTACTGCTAATACCTCTCCCTATACAACCAAGCATTCTGCTAGCATTTCCTGCTGCTCTATTACATTGTCTGCCTACCTTTAAGTCATCAGAAATAATCACCCCTAAATCCCTTTCCTCGGATGTTGAGGTTAGGACACTATCAAATATTCTGTACTCTGCCCTTGGGTTTTTACGTCCAAGATGCATTATCTTGCACTTATCCACATTAAATGTCAGCTGCCACAATTCTGACCATTTTTCTAGTTTACCTAAATCATTTGTCATTTGGCTTATCCCTCCTGGAACATCAACCCTGTTACATATCTTAGTATCATCAGCAAAAGACATACCTTACCATCAAGACCTTCTGCAATATCACTAATAAAAATATTAAAGAGAATGGGTCCAAGTACAGATCCCTGAGGTACCCCACTGGTGACAAGTCCAAGCTTGAATATATTCCATTAACTACAACCCTCTGTTGCCTGTCACTCAGCCACTGCCTTACCCATTCAACAATATTGGAATCCAAACTTAAAGATTGCAGTTTATTGATATGTGCAACAGTGTCAAAAGCCTTACTGAAATCTAGGTAAGCAATGTCTACTGCACCACCCTGATCTATAATTTTAGTTACCCAATCAAAAAATCAATAAGATTAGTTTGGCATGATCTCCCTGAAGTAAACCCATGTTGTCTCTGATCTTGAAATCCATGTGTTTTTAGATGTTCAACAATCCTATCCTTTAACATGGTTTCCATCACTTTCCCCACTACTGAAGTAAGGCTTACTGGCCTATAGTTGCCCGACTCCTCCCTATTACCTTTCTTGTGAATGGGCACAACATTCGCTAACTTCCAATCTTCTGGGACTACTCCTGTTAACAATCATTGGTTAAATAAATCTGTTAATGGTTTTGCTAGTACACCACTAAGCTCTTTTAATAGCTTTGGGTGTATTCCATCAGGTCCCATTGACTTATTTGTCTTTACTTTTGACAGTTGAAATAGAACCTCTTCCTCTGTAAACTCACGTGTAATAAATGACTCATTTATCCTTTTTCTCAACTGAGGTCCTTTTCCTTCATTTTCATCTGTAAATACAGAACAAAAATATTCATTGAAGCAGTCAGCTAGACCTTTATCCTCTTCTACATACCTTCCTTCTTTTGTTTTTAATCTAACTAATCCTTGTTTTACTTTTCTTTTCTCATTTATGTATCTAAAAAATGTTTTATCCCCCTTTTTTACTGACTGTGCTATTTTCTCTTCTGTGTGTGATTTGGAAGCTCTTATAACTTGCTTAGCCTCTTTCTGCCTAATCTTATAGATCATTTTGTCTATAAGATTAGGCAGAAAGAGGCTAAGCAAGTTATAAGAATCAAATGAACATCTGCAAGTTCGGTTATATGTCCACATGGAATTCAGATGATCTGCTGTAAGTCTATATAGAATTCAGATGATCTGTTGATCGGCCTAATTTCAGATAATTTTCAATTCGGCTGATTGTTGGATGTTCCTTTAAATAGTAGTTTAACAATGGGAAAAAATAATTTGATTCTGTTAAGTGACAGTTTCATGCCCCATTCTTTATAAAACATTATGCCCGGCCATAGTACGTCTATTTTTGACGCTCTCTTTGTGGGTTTCCAATATCCTGTAAGCTACTGTAATAACCCCCTGACAATAAATTTAAGTATACAAACATGTGGATTGATGGTAAAACCAGAAAATTCCCTCTTTTTGCCTGATCAAAAATCAATATTATAAGAAACTGGCAACCTGACTGGAAAATATATTTTATGGTTTTTCAAATCCTATTTTTGAGGTGCCCGTACATATAAATTCCATATTTACTCAAATCTAATGAGCATCTTTTTTGGCAAAATAAATTTTCTCTTATGGTCTTTTTTTTTCTATTGTTTTTATTTTTTAATTGAATAAACCTCCTGAGATCCAACCCATTAACGTGTGTCCTCTGTACTGGACATTTTGTTCACATGCATCTCCTTCTATTCTTTTGAGCTACTCTATCAATCCCTGCTGTATCGTAAAGAGGTCATTCTAGGCTTTCCAGTGATATGTCATGTGATAGACTGGCATGTTGGGAACTTCCTCTTCCTTTTCCTAAAAAATGGAAAGAAATTGGAAGACAGTTTGTTTCCTTGGTTCCCAGGAGGTTAATGTCGAAATAAATTACTATTGGCAATGATTCTGAATTAATTTGAAGGCATGAGTTGACGTTTTAAAATAGCACATAGATATAGAATACATTTTATCTATATTTTATCACACATTTATGGTAAAACTTTTTAATCCTAATTTCCTTTTTGAGGTGTATGTATAAATATATGAATATATTAAAATATTTGTTGGAGGTATTTTATGGTTATATTGTTTTGTATTACCAATTTAATGCTAAGGTAAGAATTTTAGTTACATGAATTTTTTTTTTTTTTAAATTGTTATTATAGTGACAAGAATTCCTCACTCTACTAATTGTAGGAAGATATTTTATTCATGTGAATTGAATGATTTATGTGTCTCACAAATTTGGATATGCATTCTGTTAAGAATCTCTAATTGTCTGTGTTTGGTGGTTTTGTATTTATTTTTTTGTCTTGATTTCCTTTAGAATAATTTGCAAGAAATAGTTTAATATAATGTTTTAATGTAGATGTCTTATTTTTGTATGTTCAGAAAGTGCTGCTTATTTAACTATTATTTTATTTATATAGTGCCATCAGATTCCATAGCGCTGTACAATGGGATGCCCTACTAGATTTATTGAAGTGAGAAATATGCCTTTAAGAACTGGGAACACCGGACATTTATATACTCTTGGATGATACTGTCTGTGCTCTCTCTTGATAGTGCCCACCAGCTTGGGTGAAACAAGTAGATTTGAGAGCAGTTTGCTAATAGCCTATCACACAGATTTAAAGGTCTGTGGTCCAGAATCTTGGTGTTTTCCCGTGATAAGGTCACCTTCCCCTGGATGATTTCTGATGCACATTGTGCTAAGGAGAAGGAGGACTGGTGAAAGCAGTAACCAACTTCTGTTGCACTGGGTGATGTTGGTGAGTCTTAGAATCCCCCAATTTTACCTTGTAAGGATTTTAATTGCACCTTTTTTCATCAATACATTGTCAGTATCACGCTACATACTGTTTTTTTGTAGATTATTCCCATAGTGAAGTGGAATAACCTATTTGAAATGTGCAGGAATTACTTTCATATTTTACATTGTATGCTTAAGTAGTAATAAACTGTTAGACTGTGGGCTTTACTATATTCTCTGAATTGTAATGATAATCGTAAATGTAGTATCAAGGGGTTTGTGAAGTTATTTGATCACTCTGATAATTTAAGATCAACACTTTAAGCACTGACAGTTTTTTTTTAAATTTTTTTAAAGATAATTAAAAGATATAAAAAAAAAAGCCAGAGTCGGATGACATGCATCCACAAGTATTTAGCGAGCTTAGAATAGTTACATAGCTGAAAAGAGGCATGCATCCATCTATTTTAGCCTTTCTCACATTTGATTTTTGCTGTTAATCCAAAAGAAGGCAAAAAACCCAGTCTGAAGCACTTCCAATTGTGCAACAAACTAGGGGAAAAAATCCTACTTGACCCCAGAGTGGCAGTCCAATATCTGCTTGGATCAAGAAGCTATTACCCCATTAATTAAAATTTATATCCCTATATTTTATACTTTTGCAAGTATTTATCCAATTGCTGTTTATACATCTGTATAGACTCTGATAAAACCACCTCAGAATTCCACCAGAGAATTCCAGATCCTTATTATTACTGTAAAAAAAATGAACCTTTCCTTTGCCTTATACAAAATCTCCTTTCTTCCAGTCTAACTCTTATTCTATATATAATTCTATTTGTGACTAGATTTCCAGACATTGACTCCCGAAATTATATGTATAAAGCTATCTTATCCCCTATAATGTGCCATTTTTTTCCAAACTAAAGAGATTTATAATAATTGTAATAACCAGACTGTTTTTAATCTTCCAGGATTCTTGGCTAGAATAATTGTATAACATTTTACGTCCTTATATAATATGACTTATTTTACTATTCAATTGTGTATTGCAGCCAAGCGTATTGCATAAAACATATAAACCAGAACTGAAGCTTATCACTTTATTGCAAAACTGTAAGGCCTCAAGTCTTCTTTTATCTTGTAAATAGCACAATAAATGCATATTATCTACTTCACTCACAGAAGCCTCTGTAGTCTGCACTCGCTTTCTTTTTATATGCAATTTATACTGATCAACCATATCATTGCTAGAATTAATCTTTTATAAAAATATATCATGCCACAATTGTCTACTTAATATAGTGTATTGTGTTTCTGTAATTGTGATCTATCAATATTTTGCCATGTTATTTAGTATAAATCTCATAGTAAAGTGGTATTTAATAATGAAAGATATAAAATAAAGAAAAATTCTTGTACTTGTGGAATATATACACAAACATACAGGGAAATAAAAACTATTCCCTGACTTATTCATTAACAGAACTGTACAAACATTACTCAAGATAAGATTTTCCCACAGCATAGGTAAGAGTTCTTCTGAAGATTTAAAGTAACTCTGTAGGGAAATAGTTCCATCTAATAGATGTATCTGACATCTCAGCATACCAGGGCATAAAGATAATACTAGTGCTTAAGATAAACTGGTCCAGTGAGTACATACTACTTAAGATAAACTGGTCCAGTGAGTACATAGTACTTAAGATAAACTGGTCCAGGGAGAAATCTGATCGCCATTTTGGAACGAAGAAATGGCTTTCACTATATTTTCAGCATAACTTCTAATATGCTGTGCTCAGTTCAGTGAATCTATTAAAGGACCACTTCACACCCTAAAAAGGACTTCAGCTTGTTTAAGTGCTTTATGGGTGTGAAGTATTATAGTTTAACCCCAGTTTATAAAAGTGCTGATTTCCATTCTATTTCTTTTTAAATTAACTAGGTAACCACCTCCCCCCCCCATCCTCTCCCTCCCCCCGGCTGTCAAACAGCCAGGGAGAATTTCTTCCTACTTTCATTAGCTCCCCTAACAGAAGTGACTGGCACAATCTACTTGAGTGTGCCTGCCTCTCTCTCAGACCAGACGTGCGTGCATGTGATCACAAAGTAGGAGGCTTCTTAATGAGAAATCTCTGATTTGAATTTTTCCCTGTGAAGATCATAATATCTGCAGCTTTTACAAGCTCTTTTAAGATATACCCCCAATGAATACATGCATGTATTCACTGGAGATATATGTACTAAACAGTGATTTTTTTAAATTATTTTTTTAAATATGTCCAATGGAGTGCTAAACATGTAATTTAAGTAGCTGTGTAAGTGGACATTGGAATCTCAAATGCACAGAATTTTTTTCATAGTCCCCTGTTGAAAAATGCTTTTGTCACACACTAAATATCCTGATGCAAAACAACATCAAATGGTAAAATACTAAATCAGGGCCTTACAAAAGTGTTTTAGTATAAGTAAATCGTAAGTGCCTGACCACACAGAAGCAGGCAGCCCACTCTTGATAGGGGGCTTTCTCACATTCCATGCTTTGAAATGGAGGGGGGAACATATAACCAAAACACACACACACTGTGTGCAAGATATGTCCCATATATTAAACTAACTAGTCCTTTACATACTGGAGTTGACCTTGTTTCAAAGGGTTTACATCTCCATTTGTACAGCCTTGATAGTTATCATACTTACAGATACCACACCAAACATTAAAAGTCTACTAGGACACAGGGCACTGTTTTTAGAAGTACAGATTTTAGATGCTACTTTTAGCTTGGGGGAAAAAACCTTAAAGACAGATCCGTGGAGAGGTGTCTCAGTGCCAAAGTTTTTTTTTTTAACTTTTTGGACATTTTGAAAATAGAGGGAATGAGACATTTTATAGTACAATGCAAAACACATGTAGTCCTCTATTTAACCAATGCAAAAAAGAACAATAACAGATGGACAAATGCAAAAGGGAGGCTAACCGAGCCACCAAGTTACTAGTAGACAAGCCAGTACATGCTTCAAAGTTTATTTTTATATAGCAATTCCTTAAAAAGGCACAACTTTGCTGATAATGTTTGACAAATGTTGAGAGTCATCCAAATGTCACCCTCCTTGTATAGTAATTGTTTGTTTAGTCTTGTTTAAAGGCGTAATCCAATTCCTGTAAATAGAGACAGGAGATCCTCAAACATCCAAAAATCATTACACATGGTTAAAAAAACTATTTCTTATTGTCCGGAAACAATACCATAAAATTTTCTGTATGTATAATGAACTGGGAGAAAAACAGTAAAGGTTCCAGACATGAATCATTTTAGGAAATGATGACATCTGTCTAAATGTTTTGTCATTTGGAAACAAATAGAAACTAACAGTCACTATGATCTAAAAGTAGTGTTTTCTGGAAAGACTGCTTTCCAACTTTTTTTTTTGTAATCCCTCACATTCTCATATGATCCATAGGTACAAAAGCCATCTGTCCAGTAGAAAGGTATAATGAATTATTATAAATGAAACAAGATTTTAAACAAAAAAACATGTAGATGTTTAATTTGCTTGTGGGATCATTCATCATCTTTCTTGCTATTGTACACGAGTGTCCGCAAAATGTCAGCACGTTATAAATCAATCATAATGATTATGGGGTTAGTTAAAGTGTATCATGGTGAATATATTCTGGTCTGTCTGTCTGTCAAGAATAGCTATAAGGTCTGTCTGCAGTTCGCTCGTTTTGTCTCATATATTATACAGGCAGGGTGGTGAACTTGTTGTAGACTCTTAAATGCAGAGAAGGATGATGTTACTTTGGTGAAAACTCATTTGTGTTTTTATAGAATGGTATTGGTAAACTTGTAAAAGGTTCAAATCTAAAATATAAACAAAAATATATATATTTTTTTTTCTAAAGCGAACACCTCCCGATTTTCAGCTTGACAAAAGCAATTAGCTCATGGGCGGTTCTTTAACTAGATATATGCTTTCCACTCTCACATGGACTATTTTGAGTTTTTCATGAGTTCAATATGCAAAGCTCATATTTAAAAAACAAAAACAAAAAAAACAACTTGCAATTATGACAAATCCAAAAGTAATAACGCTCGATGCATGTATTTGTAGATATATCTGCACTCACGGTCTTGCTTAATTCCTTTATTCCTTCATATTAAAATTAAAACATCCAAGTTTCAATATCCATGTCGACGTTTCAGTCCCCAAACAGAACGTTCTTCAGGACAAATAATAATCCTCTCTATATCAGATATCAACAAAAAAATTTAGCAACAAGTCCTGTGAATGCAACATTTTTGGGAGATTTCATGGAATTATATATTGCTTGTATTAGAGCGGCCAGGCACCATACACGAAAGTCTGCATTTAAAAGTGAGTGCCATTGCACCTATCGCGTGTTTGTATATCTATCTACAAATATGGATAAATTAGAATAAAAACAAGAAATATTTAGGGAGTACCAAATTCATATCTAACCTATTATGTCATGTTTTAAACCTCATTATGCAATAATGGAGAAAACATTATACTTTGTTTTCCGTCCCATTTTTAATTTTCTACAGGATTTTGATTTCTCAAATTCATACATGTATAAAACAAATGAAGCAATAGAAACAAAGGATATCTCTTAGCGCTCATCTACAGTCCTTAAACTAAACTGGTGCTCTGTGCTCTAGGCACGTACCTATCGCATCCATCATTAATTCATACAATCACATAAGCACGAAAATCAACAGTGAGCCGTCCAGCAGGTCTAACAGTTGTCTAATAAGTTTACTTTTAATTTTAAATGTCAGATACACAGAGCAAGAGGAGATTAATCATGTTTACAGACTGTTGTAAACTTATGATTCATGTTAGGAATTACCCAAAGAATTTGTGGAATTCAGGAATGGATGTATACTGACTTCCTGCATTTCTAAATTGTATATTTTTGAGGTTGATAATAAATCACTCACTCTTCCTAAAGTCAACAGAGCAATTCTTAAAGGAACACTATAGTCACCTAAATTACTTTAGCTAAATAAAGCAGTTTTAGTGTATAGATCATTCCCCTGCAATTTCACTGCTCAATTCACTGTCATTTAGGAGTTAAATCCCTTTGTTTCTGTTTATGCAGCCCTAGCCACACCTCCCCTGGCTATGATTGACAGAGCCTGCATGAAAAAAAAAAACTGGTTTCACTTTCAAACAGATGTAATTTACCTTAAATAATCTCTAAATTGAACTTTAATCACATACAGGAGGCTCTTGCAGGGTCTAGCAAGCTATTAACATAGCAGGGGATAAGAAAATCTTAATTAAACAGAACTTGTAATAAAGAGAGCCTAAATAGGGCTCTCTTTACAGGAAGTGTTTATGGAAGGCTGTGCAAGTCACATGCCGGGAGGTGTGACTAGGGTTCATAAACAAAGGGATTTAACTCCTAAATGGCAGAGGATTGAGCAGTGAGGATGCAGGGGCATGTTCTATACACCAAAAATGCTTCATTAGGCTAAAGTTGGGTGATGGGTGGGTGTAGGTAATGTTTCAGTATACATCTAGATTATTTTATTGCTTTTTTTCCCCCTGGGACTGTTTTTGTGCTGCTTTGGAAAGAGAACGTAGATATGAACTTGAGTTTTATAGAACCCGTTATACCCCTCAGGTTGATGCAAGTTTCATGTTTATTATAGAGTTTTATGAGGCATTACTGACTGATTAATGCTCCAGTTACATAAAAACCTGAACAACTATGGGGGGAAAAAAGGGGCAAAATGTCAAAGGCATCGTGCAAAATAAGTTTTTAGTGTAAAGGAATTGATAAAACATTATAAACTCTGAGGAACTGTTTAAAAGATCTTGTTATAAAACAAATTGCTTTGACACATGAATGCATAAACAGCTTGAATGCAATATTCATTCTTTTGGGCATGTGCAGTTCTCTAATTATCCTGCATTTAAGAAAGCTGCGGTCTAACACTAGCACGTTGCCCTAAAATGTATTTTTATGGGGCAACAGCCATTATAGTTTCAGGATTTTCTAGTGTGGATAAATGATGGTATTTTTTTATTTTGTTTTGATTGCTAATAATTATTTAAATAAAGGTCCTTTAGATTTAGCACATTGATAACGATTCCTCTGGAAGTCAAAACATAGGGGCAATACTTTGCATTATAATGCATTATAAACCCAACCAAAATGACCCTGATGAATGAGAAACATTAAAATAAATATTCTAGTTATTTGTGCTACTAAAAAAAAAAAGATTCCACTCAATCAATGTTGACTAGTGTAGATATACAGATCTATTTGACATTTACTAATTAAGATCTAGATAGAGATTGAATAGTCACCAGTGGAGCTATACACTGATCAGCCACAACATTTAAACTACCTGCATACTATTGTATAGGTCCCCCTGATACTGCCAAAAAAGCTCTGATGTGTTGAGACATGGATTCCACAAAACCTCCAAACATGTCTTTTGTTATCTGGCACTAATCATTAGCAGCAGATTCTTTAAGTACTGCATGTAATGTGAGATAGGGCCACCATAGATCGGATTTGTTCTAGCACATCCAACAGATGCTTAATCAGACTGAGGAATTTGGAAGCTTAGACAACACCTAGAGCTCTTTGTCATGATCCTCAAAGCATTACTGAAGTTTTGCAGTGTAGTATGATGCATTATTGAGCTGAAAGAGACCACTGCAATCAGGGAACACCATTGCCATGAAAGGGTGTACATAGTCAGCAACAATCTCTAGGTAGATGGCAAGTGTCATCCACATCTAAGACCCAAGGTTTCCTATCAGAACATTGCCCAGAGCATAACACTGCCTCTGCTGACTTGTCTTCTTCCCACATTGCAGCACACTGCCATCTCTTCCCAGGTTAACTATGCACAGGCACCCAGTAATCCACCTGATCTAAAATGAAACATGATTCATCAGACCAGACAACCTACTTCCACTGCTCTATGATCCAGATCTGGTGCTTACATCCCCATTGAAGGTGCTTTCAGGGGTGTGCAGAGATCACCCTGGGAACTTTGACTAGTCTGGTGCTACGCAAAAAACTGTGATGCTCTGTGTGTTCTGATACCTTTCTATCATGGCCAGCATTAAGTTTTTTGGTTTTTTTTAAGCAATTTGGCCTACAGTAGCTCTTCTATTTGATCCAAACAGGCTAGCCTCCACTAGCCTAGCTCATGTGCTTCAATGAGACTTAGGCTCTCTTGACCCTGACACTAGTTCACGGGTTGTCCATCCTTGCACCGCTTTTGGTAGGTATTAGCCACTACATGTTGGGAACACCCCACAATACTTGTGGTTTTGGTGATGCTCTGACCCAGTCATCTAGCCATCACGATTTGGCCCTTGTCAAAGTCAGATCTTTTCGCTTGACCAGTTTTCCTGTTTCCAACAGATGAAATTCAAGAACTAACTGTTCATTTGATGCCTACTATATCACACCCCTTGATAGATGCCATTGTAAAAATATAAGCAGTAATTTACTTAATATATGAATAGTAATTGCGTTTACTAGTGGTATTCAGTATAAAATTATATTGTGTGTCAGACATTCTAGTTGACCTATAAAGAGCTGTCTGGCATTCATTAGTGAAAATATAGATACATCATATATTTGCCAGTGGATATGTATTGGGAGATTACGTAGACTCAAACACAGCTATTGCATTCACTACAGGAGATGAGTAAGGAATTATCTGATATTCACCAGCATATGTGCAGAGATGTGCATATTTACTGGTGGAATTTGTCATGCCCAGTAGACATTCATTTATTGTAAAGATATTGTCAATGTGTTGTGGATCCATTGATTCATTGTCAAAGGATATGGAACTAATGTGATTTGTGTGAATGCATGGCATGGTTATCCATTAGAAAGTATCTGATTACAGTATGGTAAGACCTCATGGCTTACTTTATCAAAGACCTATGAGGTGTACTGTGTGAAAAGCAATGAGTTAGATATTTTTATAAATTGTTATATACATATGATATAGAAATTAAGGCATGCGTTATAGAATCGGAGATTCATTTTGGGCAAAACTGAAATTTGGCCCAATCGGGTAATCAAAATAAGTTTTGATTTCTGAATCACCACGTGCCAGAATCTCTCTTGGTTTCATTAGTCATTCAAAGTGCCATTACTGGTACCAGAAAAAAATGGGGATGGAATAGGGAAGAGGCTGTTTGTTTCGGTTTACTTTCCAATGATGGACAAGTATTATGCCCAATTATGTGTGCTGAATCTCCTGTCCAATCAAGGGGCATCAATTAAGATGATTGATGGTTAGGGGGCAGCCAGTAAATGTTGATATTATTCACAGATCAAGTAAAGAGATAATAGAGCAAGTACAGTTACTCATGGAAAAGATAAGAAAAAAAGCAATAAAATAACTATATTTCCAAGCAGGATACTAGACATTTTGAAGGGAGACACTATCGACACTACCGAAGGAGAGAGACCAGCAGTGATCTACCCTTTGCTTAGCCTGTGTTGGAGTGGTAAAAACCACTAACCACTAGAGAAACCTTTGAGTGGGAGATATGAGATTAGCACTTGGCAGGCATTTTGTCATTCATCATATTGTAAGACTATTTTACCAATATAAAAATGTTAAGTTTTTTTGGTATACTGTTTAGAGGAAAGCAAATCTTTTTGGGGGTAGGAAAAACAAAACAAAATATCTTGTTTAGAGCTGGTCATTAATCAAAAGCACCACCACTATTAGTAGTATTCAGCCTTTGGATAACTGGATTAGCAGCAGGTCCTTTATATCCAATTCAAAACCCAGGAGGCAACTTCTTCCATGGCTAGTTCAAGTGTTTTTCCTTCTTGGTGCCCCCAAAAAGCAACTAATGGAAAGCACAGCAGATTATACTTTTTGAGGGTCATCAGAGCCACTCTTTAGTGAGGACTTACAACAGGGTACCAAATGTGTGTTCTCAATGTCTTTGTGGAGGTGATAATTCCAGTGATGGTAATGGTTTCACCAGCACTACAGACATAACACTTTTACCTCTAGCCCAGTAGCAATATTCAACGATGAGTATGCTGAGTTAGAGGAGAATGTGGAGAGAACATTCAGCAACTCTGAATTTTCTGCCACAGCTAGTATGCACTAACCTCCTGCATCTTGTCCACCATCTTCAAGTCCATCTGTCTCTGCTGCACTTGCAGCCACTGGCACCAGTATCTCACCCCTTGTCGACATTATCACCACCACTACTACTACCACCACTATCAACATCCCCTTCACTTGCAGCATCAACATTTCCATTAGCATTAATGAACCAAATGCTAACATTGTGACAGCTTCCACTGCAAATTATGCAAATCCACATGCATCTTTAGCACACGTAAGGCATAGGGTTGAGGGTACTGTATTGTGCCATCATAGCAACATTTGCCTCCAAAAAGGGCATCTTGCAAAGTATAAATGGTGGGGGAAGGATATTGGTAGAGCGTGCATGAGGGAAAGAAAATATTTAAAAAAAAACAATTTTGCTAAAGTGTAGGAAGAACTGAAATATTTAGCCCTACACAAGTTTAATGTTTTATCTTTGTTTGTAAACCAAATAGATTAAAGTAGTGATCTTTATTACTACCAGACCCGTATCAAATAAGTTGTAAGCTTCAAGTATTGAAAGTTCAATGAAGGGTCACTCACTTAAAGTTTTCGAAGGATTTTGGATGTTGTTTTTGCTTTATATATAGTATATATCATGGTACATTTTCAGCCAGGGTTTGGAATACATTAATTGTTTCTCATATAACTGGAATTCCTACCCTCTCCAGTAGCAGAAAAGTGGATATAATCCTTGTTGAAACCTTAAGAATTGTTTAATCCATTTTGAAAGCCAAATTCAATTTGTAGTGGATTAACATTTTCCTTACCAAAGATCTATTTTGACAAAAAAATTTAAGTTAGTGAGTATTAAGGATTTGGTAATATTTTTTGTTTGTTTTGTTTTTTTTATCTCTTGGTTGGTGTACGTAAAACAATGTTTTATATGTATACACTGTGACTATTTTTGTTCTTTATAAATGTTTCTTTATGAAGTTTTTCCTTTGTCTGATATAAGAATCATGTTACTGAAGTGACATCATATTACTGTGGTTTCATAGACCTATCTGCAAAATTGTGTTCTGTATGGTTTTAAAGATAAATTGTCTCAGTAGTGGCAGCTTTCATACTAGAAGAGTTGTGGGTGGTGGTGGTAAGAGGGCTTTTTTTCTATCATTTTGTCTAGTGCCTATCTAGTGTGCTTATTGACCCTTTCACCCACTGGAGGAAGTCACAAGCCGACTGGAGAGGGATGGGGTTCGTAAGACATATAGTGATCGTGCATATTCACTAGTGGAAATTTATAGACGTTAGATATTCACTAGTGGTGTTATACCAAGCTGGACATTCACTAGTGGTGAGATACAAAGTAGTGGGCTATTCACTAGTAAAGGATATTATGGAGAGGGTGTTTATTACTGGTAATATAAAAACGTGGTCAGATACACTAGTGAGATAAAGGGGCTGGATATTTATGTTGAGATAAACAGTCTGGAGCTGACCTCTTTTTAAGTTTGTTTTTGTTATTTAATTGTAGATTTTTTTCCCTAACATTTCACAATAGAAATCTTTGTTGCATTATGTCTATTTTTTTTCAAGATAATTGATATTAAAAAAATTGCAACCAGCATTTGGCAAGTTACCATATAGAATCTTGGTGATTGCTATTAAAAGGTTAATATTTATTCTTCTCTGTTGTAGCTCTTACTGCCCCCTCCTTGCATTTGTTCTATTTCACATCTGGTGTTGGTTTACTCTGACTTATGTAATTTTCCTTTTTATCGACTGGTCCAATGAAATACATCATTCTACTTGGCGATGTCATCTTAATACGTACAGCAACAATGATCTTTCACATTCGCAGACAGGAAAAAAACTATTTTTTTATTTTAAATGTTTAATATTTTGCAACGTATTGATAGAGTTTGCTCATAGTGGAGATCATAAAAGTTTGTTTAAAGTTTTAGTTAAACCTTAATCTATTCTTAAGCTTAATAAAAAGTTAAAAGTGATGGTAAAAACACAGATCTTAAAGCACTGTAATTTTCATCAGCCAGCAAGTGTTGGCGGAGAAAATTACAAAAATTTGTTCAAGATGTGCATTCCACTCAAGCATGCTTCCACTGATACAGACCGTCATGTAGTGCATTCTCTTAATCGTTGCTAAAGAAACTACACCAGAATACTATAAAAAGTTTACTCACTTCACTTGTGAGCTCTTTAACAAGTGCTCCTCCTCCGAATGTGTGTACACCTGACCTGCCAAATGTCAGTTATTTATTGAAAGCTACATATAACGTGTTTACAAATATGCATTAGGTCTTAAATGTATTAAACACAATAAATATATAATTTTCAATGTAGGGTATTAGTTTGCAGCTAAAGTTGTCTTTTGCTCTTTACATCTTTGTGAATTAACAGGTTTAGTGAGATGTGTGTATCATTATCTGTGTGTGTGCTTGGTATTGTGTATCCAGGCGTGCACCTGAGAGTGCGTTTTGATGTGTTTGGTAGTGAGTATCCTTATATGTCTGTCTTCCTGGCAGTTTATACCTGTCTGTGTATATAAAACAGGGTACTGGAATGCATATTTGTGTCAGGATTACTGTTTGATCCAGCACGTAGAACTGTATAGCACGGATGACAAATAAGTAACGTATGGCCGGATTTAACGTACATAAATAGTCAAAAATACTAGCCGAGGTCAGGGAACACAGAAAGGGACGCAGCGATGAGGAAAGCCAGGAGTCAGAATACCAGAATATAGAGAAGTCAATAAACAAAGCCAAAGTCAAAAACCAGGTAGAAAACTATGAGCAGGAACGCGCTCTCGGACAGCCACAAAGGAAACCACGACAGGGCACTGAGCAGGATGAGAACTGGGCTTATATACCCCTCCTCTAGATCTGATAGGCTGTAACCGGCCTTTGACCCCAAAGTCAGTTACCAGGTTTCATTTGCATAATTGCTGCTCAGCATTAACCCTTCTGGGGATTAGGTTGCTGCTCGGCACAACTTTTCCTGTGTGGACAGTAAATGTCATTAACCACATTTTTATAAGCGGATGAATACGTGACAATTTGTGTCTGTGAGTGCGTTTCACTGTGTCTGTAAGTGCGTTTCACTGTGTCTGTGAGTATTTGGGAGCAGGTGTGTAGGTACGTATCTGCAGAGTGGAGGTAGAAATGGGATTAGCAAATTGGGTGCCAGGAGTTTTAAGGGCTGCCCTAAATATTAATCTCTATGGAAAACATTCAGCAGCTGCCAATTACCACGTGTTGAGCATTTTGTTTTGTACCGTTGGAAACTGCCAGTAATTGTTAACAACATTTTAGTGATCACCGACAAGCACGGAAATGAGCTCTTAATGAATTAAACACTGAACAATGAATTTAACATGAAACTCCACATCAGTTTTATAGCTTTAAATGCTTGAAACCTTTTAAGATCGTATGCCATATGTTCTCCCACTGTGATTTAAAACACACCAGCAAACCCTTCACATCTTATTCTAGATCAACCATCCACTTTCTGTATTATTTAATTTTCTTGAGCAATATTCTTGATTAATGTGTTCATTTAGCCTGCATGCTATCAATGCCACAAACCAATAATTGAATTATCAGAGATATAATCAATTCAATGCTCTTCCAGAACAAACTGTGTGCAGAGCTCTGCTGAAGTGCTTTCGTTAAGCAAATTGACACACTTGGTCTGCAGGTGCTGGGGACTTGTTTCTGGTGTCTCACTAAAAGGACAGGGCTGATAAATAATGTTTTGTGTGTGCTGCCTGTGGTGTTGTCTGTGTGCTGCCTGTGGAGCTGTTTGGGGTTGCTTGTGTGGAGGCTGCTTATGGATTGTGTGTGAGGGAATGCTGCTTGTGATGTTGTGTTTGTATGCAATATTGAGTTTGTGGGGATGCTGCTTGATGTATTGCACATATTGAGGGGTTTTGCTTGTGGGGATGCGTGTATGTCAATGGTGCTGTTTACAGTGCGTCATGTCCGTGCATTGGGATCTTTGGGATGTAGTATATGTGAATATGGTTTGGGGCTGAAGTATGTGAGGTTGAGAAACAAAAGATGTAGAGTGTGAGGGATTATAGGGCAGTGTGTGTGCGAAGAGGGAAATGCTGTAGTGTGGGGCAGCTATAGAGGATGTGTGAGGAGCAAAGGTTCTGTAAGATTTTGGAGGGAATAGGTTCTGTAGTGGGTTAGTAGGTGATAGGGAATGAGGAATGTGCAGAGAGGGATAGTGGTTGGACTGAAGTTGATTGCTGTGGGTGAAGAGGATATTTTGCAATACCCTGATGAAGGAATGAGACCACTTGTTGACAGTGTTTTCCTTAGTTCAGCTGATAGGTCAATGGCAATATGCAAGCAGATAATGCTGGAGGAAGTGCAGAAGCACGCAGAGGTAGGTAACCCCACGATCACATGAAGAAGAACTCTATGAACTTTTTGTTGAGAGCCCTAAGCTTTGGAGCTCACATAAGAAATAAAACAAGGGCTCTCAGAGAAGCAGGTACCTCTCTTTGATCTCCCCTGTCGCCTTGGCCATCAAGTCCTACTAGGCATTTGCCTGGTTTGCCTGATGGCCAGCCTCCCACATATGTGGATTTAAAGCCAGTCCAATCCTACATTCTAATGTGTTCTTTACAACATACCTAACAAGAATCAGAATGGGGTGAGGGGGCCTTAGGGTAGAATGGGCCAGTGGGGGGAACGCTTGCCCTACGGAGAGGCTTCTTAGCCTGCAATCTCTGGTGTCATGAGAACATCATTAATCATGCTTGCACCGTGCATCAGTACACTGCAGAGAGCACTTCAGCAGAGAACTAAATTGGGACAGGACCCCAAAATCAGGACTGTCCCACCGAAAGCAGGACTGTTGGGAAGTGTCACAGGTCACACCGTGCCAAGCAGACTGCCAGAGGTGGACATCACATTTCAAGGCCTGGCTGGGATTGAACCTGGGTCTTTTACATGCCAGTCAATGAACTTACCTAATCGCCACTTCTCGGGTTCATATAAGTCTGGACTGCTTCACACCTGCTCGTGGTTCCTGGTTAAGTAGCCAATTAGCTACCGTTATAAGCACTGCCTTGCCACTTCCTGCTTGTCAGATCGTTTTGTTCCTGTCTTAGAAACTGCTTCGTTCATCTGACTCCTGCTTTGACCTTCGGAACTGTTTATCGTATTTGCCTCATTTCCACCTGCCCTGATCATTGGAACTGTACCTGCCTACTCTATTGGATTTCCCTTGTCTGTTCTGCGTATCCAGGAGTACTTTTCCTGCAAAGCCCCAGTGCATTGTTTCACAATCTTGGAGATTTCTTCCTAGAGTCTCCTCGGTTTGTGTTAAACTGCAAGGGTGTGCCTTAACTTACCACTTCGGACTCCCATCTCCAGGTAAGATCTTGACAGGAGGAATGTTTAAATAACATTTATCAAGTTACCTTTGCCTGTACTCAGAGTATTACATGAACTTCACTCTTTACACATGCTGTATGAACCCCAAACCATGCTGTGCTAACTCTTGCCTCCACTGCATTAAAACATTGCTTGTCCAGCAATAGCCCCACACTATGCTGTGTGATAGATTCTAAATATGGTGCATTGAAAGTGGCACCATCTCAAATTATACAAATGTCTTATTTCTTTCTCAGTATTACAGGGACTTGTGGCTAGCAAAGAAATGGTGTAAAATTAGTCCTGCGGCTTTTCAGGCCCTCTATTGGGGATCCAGGTCCTTTTGCCACCCACAACCCAGCAATGCCCCAGTTTCCAACAATGTACGTAGACACCACTCCAGTCCAATGCTGGCTGAGATTGAGGAACTACAATTCCACAACAGCTGGAAAGCTACTTGCTGGCTTCTCTCACACTAACATAACACGTGCCCAGGCTTTGTGCCAAATTTATCCTGTCTATTTCAAGGCAAGCACGTAAAATTTTATGTTACAATATGCAAGTTTTCTTTAAAAATCTTGAGCTGTATTTGAAATAAGGTCCATGTAACCACTGAACAGTACATGCTCTGTTTAAAGCTTAAAAAAACATTAATTTGTTAAGTTGTGCCATGTTATTTTCAATCATTTGTGCTTCAGTTCAGATAGGATGCAGGTATTCAGGGAGATATCTAAAAAGTGCATCTTCCAAAGTAATTATCCATTAGCACATACCACAGCTATCAAATACTGTAGACATACAAAGACTATTTAAGGAGGCTTGTTTAATGGAATGGAATGGAATGTACAAGCTCCATGGATATTTCAGGAAAAAAATAAAGTGCTTTTTTTTGTGGGAAAGAAAGAAAAATATAAGGAAAAATGCACTTACAGTTGCAAGAAAAAGTATGTGAACCCTTTGGAATGATATGGATTTCTGCACAAATTGGTCATGAAATGTGATCTGATCATCATCTAAGTCACAACAATAGACAATCACAGTCTGCTTAAACTAATAACTCACAAAGAATGAAATGTTGCCATGTTTTTATTGAACACACCATGTAAACATTAACAGTGCAGGTGGAAAAAGTATGTGAACCCTTGGATTTAATAACTGGTTGAACCTCCTTTGGCAGCAATAACTTCAACCAAATGTTTCCTGTAGTTGCAGATAAGACATGCACAACGGTCAGGAGTAATTCTTGACCATTCCTCTTTATAGAACTGTTTCAGTTCAGCAATATTCTTGGGATGTCTGGTGTGAATCGCTTTCTTGAGGTCATGCCACAGCATCTCAATCGGGTTGAGGTCAGGACTCTGACTGGGCCACTTCAGAAGGCGTATTTTCTTCTGTTTAAGCCATTCTGTTGTTGATTTACTTCTATGCTTTGGGTCATTGTCCTGTTGCAACACCCATCTTCTGTTGAGCTTCAGCTGGTAGACAGATGGCCTTAAGTTCTCCTGCAAAATGTCTTGATAAACTTGGGAATTCATTTTTCCTTTGATGATAGCAATCTGTCCAGGCCCTGACGCAGCAAAGCAGCCCCAAACCATGATGCCCCCACCACCATACTTCACAGTTGGGATGAGGTTTTGATGTTTTTGGTGTGCTGTGCCTTTTTTTTTCGCCACACATAGTGTTACTTGTTTCTTCCAAACAACTCAACTTTGGTTTCATCTGTCCACAGAATATTTTGCCAGTACTGCTGTGGAACATCCAGGTGCTCTTGTGCAAACTGTAAACGTGCAGCAATGTTTTGTTTGGACAGCAGTGGCTTCCTCTGTGGTATCCTCCCATGAAATCCATTCTTGTTTAGTGTTTTACGTATTGTAGATTCGCTAACAGGGATGTTAGCATTTGCCAGTGACTTTTGTAAGTCTTTAGCTGACACTCTAGGATTCTTCTTCACCTCATTGAGCAGTCTGCGCTGTGCTCTTGCAGTCATCTTTACAGGACGGCCACTCCTAGGGAGAGTAGCAGCAGTACTGAACTTTCTCCTTTTATAGACAATTTGTGTTACCGTGGACTGATGAATAGCAAGGCTTTTGGAGATACTTTTATAACCCTTTCCAGCTTTATGCAAGTCAACAATTCCTAATTATAGGTCTTCTGAGAGCTCTTTTATGTGAGGCATCATTCACATCAGGCAATGCTTCTTGTGAAAAGCAAACCCAGAACTGGTGTGTGTTTTTTATAGGGCAGGGCAGCTGTAACCAACACCTCCAATCTCATCTCATTGATTGGACTCCAGTTGGCTGACATCACACTCCAATTAGCTTTTGGAGAAGTCATTAGTCTAGGGGTTCACATACTTTTTCCACCTGCACTGTGAATGTTTACATGGTGTGTTCAATAAACACATGGCAACATTTAATTCTTTGTGTGTTATTAGTTTAAGCAGACTGTGATTGTCTATTGTTGTGACTTAGATGATGATCAGATCACATTTTATGACCAATTTGTGCAGAAATCCATATCATTCCAAATGGTTCACATACTTTTTCTTGCAACTGTATATAATTTGAAAAAAAAAAAGTTTAAAAACTAAATATTTATTATGTCCAATAAGTTTTTAATAGGCAGATATGAAAAAGCTACAGACTGTGTTAGTTCCTTTGACTTAGTAAAGTGGAATAAATGAAATATCCAGGCACATCTGAAGTTTCTTCTAAAAGGCAGTCTTTTTATTTAAAAACATGGAAGTAGACAACATTTCGGCATCTCTCTGAGCCTTTATCAAGACATGGAGCCCCTTGCGGCAAGTGTCCCCCCTTTTTTAGTGTGTATTTTTCTCTTTTTTTTTCTTTTTTGGAATTAACTTAGTAAAGTGTCTGTCACCAGAAAAAATACATGTTTCCTTTAAATAGAAACAGTTTGTGTAGTTTTTTTCAAGTGTTTTTTTTTTTTTAGTTAGTAATGGTTAATAAAATTGTTTATAAATTACCACTTCTCCCTTCTTGATTGATCACTACTTCTCTGTGTTACTAACAGATGTTTAGGTGATTGGTGGAGGTTAAATCTGAGCTGAGTATTGAAATGATTGTGTGAGCTTTGAAGTTGGTGTTTGGTGAGTGACTTCCCTGGATCTTGATTGTTTATATGTAATCACAAAACTGTACAAGGAAAATGCAGTGGCATACATACAACACAACATTGCCAGTTTTATAGTTTTCTTCATTTAACCATTCCTAACAAGGCAAGAAATGTAAGGGAGTGGGGAAAAAGGTGGGAAAAGAGAAAATGTCTCTTTGGAATGCAATGTGAAAAAATGGAGGAAAAACAGATATCTTTCAATGTAATATATGTGTGACAACCACAGATTCCAAATTTTTTGAAAAAAGCCAGAGTTTTTATGTATCAGGCAAGCACCTTGTTACATCTTCACACTGACTGTTAACAGACACCTCTAGTTTAATATTTTTAACTTTTACTATCAAAACAGTGGCTCACAAAGCCCATGAGGACCAAAATTCCTCATGTTTTTTTTCCCCAAACATTACCAGTAAATGTATTGATTGCAGAGCAACTCCAAGCACCTTAAATGAACACTCCCGACTCCTAAAGCTTTATATGTGAAGACCGTGTCCCCTTTTTTCATTTACAAAGTGCAGATTTCAATAGATATTAGCACTTTTATAAATTAACATTGCTACGCCCCTACTGGTTGTCAATCAGACATTTGATCATGTAACTTCCTGGTTCTTTAGCTCAGTGTAGCAAAACCCAAAAGCCAGGTGTTTTCCTAATACAACTCAATTTAAAGTCTTTACAAGACAGGTGCTGTGAGTAGCCTGTGATTGGACAGCCATATAATATCTGGGCGGGGTTAGAAGGGAAGGGTCTGCACAGGCGTCAGACAAGAGATTGACAGCTTTTCCAAGCTGTTCTTAGATATATCCCAATAAAAAAAAGTCTAATGAAATGCATGCATGTTTACATTGGAGTTATGATGATTATAATTATTATTTGTGCAGTAGAGTGTCCATTTAATCACTAAAGAATACTGTTGTGATTATGGAGCCTGAGGGCACACCCCACCCTATTGCAAGGAGTTAAACAGTTTGACTTCTTTCTACTCCCCATTATAGCTTAATTATATAAGCCTGGCAATGCAGAGCTTTTCTCATTGGAGAGCGATACACTGATTGTCTTTCTGCAATGCACGACTTTGTTAAGGAGAACTCAAGGAAACTTCTGAGCAGTGGAGATAGTGAGAAGTAGCCTGTGGAACCCAAGTTTTAAAACAGTTTGATTCCTTGCAATGTGGGTCAACACAGCCCCCCCCAGGCACCTTAATAATTACTGCACACTGTGATAGTTATGGTGGTTGTAATGTTCCTTTAGAAGATTAGGGATGTGAAGATTCACTAAACCGATCTCTGTAGTAACAAGATAATTGATTTGCAGATATTTAGGGTACAAAAGCTAAAATGGCAAAATCTCCAAACCAGCTCCAAACCCCTCAACTGTAAAATTTTGTCTTAAAAGTTCTAAACCCAACACAAATTACTGCTTAGCTAAAACGGAACTGTCACCCCAATTTAGGCTTAAATACCCCTTATATTTATCAAACATGTCTTCTATTCTTCAACTGAGAGCTTCATCTTTGCTCCTTGTCAATCAATGTTATCAGCTCTGACCTTTTCTTTTATTAAACATATTATGTCAGGAAGAAGAAGAGAAACAACTGGATTGTGACACCATTGCTAAACATATACCTTTAAAACAAAACTGAGCATCACAGAAAAATTTAATATGCTTCATATAGGGTAAAGGTTTTACAGAATACAGTAATTTATAGAAAAAGTTACAGTTCCCCTTTTAGCAAACTCCGAAGAGTTAAAACCTAAAGTATATGATTAATTCTGTCCTCTGGAAGATATTAATCAATGGCAAAAAACTCATCAGTTTGGAAAAATTGTTAACATTGCACATATATTACATGGCGTTTGCATAAATATTTGTAAATATTTCTATAGCTTTGATTGATTTACTATATATCAATGGTGAATTTGGCTCAGAAGAGTTAAGCAAAGCATGATATTTAGAAAACGTAAAAGTGATTTGTAGTTTGTCTGCAGAAAATTAAAACACATGAAAAGCAAAGAATGGAAATGTTTATCTACTTATTTTCGATGTAGAGTCAAAAGGGTTTTAGTTCCAAAAGTCGCACTATTATGACAAACAAATAATTAGAAATTAAAAAAGCTTGTTCTTTAAAGCAATGCTCTAAGTATCATAACTAGTACTAGGAGTGTATTGGTACACTCCATTGTAAGGAGTCAAGCTGCAACAGTTTCACTTTTTACCTGGGGTCCTCTGGGCACCACTCCTCACTTGTTACATCTTTACGTTGACTATTAACAGACACCTGTATTTTAATATTTTCCTATGGAGAGATAGAAGTTCCTAAACTATCAGCTGATCACTCTCTGACAATGACCTAAGCTCTGCATTGACAGGCCCAGGTCAGATAGAGCGCTTCTGGTTCTCCATAGGAAGTACTGAAGATGGAGAATGGCACCCAGTAGACCCAAGGTTAAAAAGTCAAACTGTTCTCGAGCAATTTAACGTCTTACAGAGGGTGGATGGGGGCGCTCAAGTTGTTATAGTGTTAGGCGTGTTCCTTTTAGTTAATGCAGCCATAATGTACTCTATAAGGTAGACAGTATTTGGAGGAAAAGAGAATATTAATCAATAAGCTAATTACATTTCTAATTATGAAGATATGTTTTGCTTGACAAATAATACAGTGCTTTAAAGTTACTTTAGATGGCCTCAAAAGTAGGAAAAAATATTTGTATTCTTTATCTTTACTCTTTCATCTCCACTATCTCTATATATTTAGTTTTGTTGGAACAAAACATTGAACACAAAGCTATATTACTGCTTATGTCCCAAACATTGAAGCCAATGTACTAAGCTAAACTGTACTGAGCATGCCCTGCATTTACCCCATATGTCAATAGAAGCTACATTTAAGACCATTTGCAGCACTACACAACCTTATTGAGCTTGGCTGTGGTTCTTTAGTCAAGTGAATTGAAACAACACTGAAAAAAAATGCAACAAGATGCCTGTTTAGTGTATGTACAAGTGATTCCCATTAATTTTTGTGGAAGAATGACGGTACCTGTTTGAGCCGAACAATTTATATAGTGGAATGTGCAGGGCCCTAGCCATAGCAGAGAAAGAACAATCCGGCATTAGATGACCTGCCTCAAACCACTTCTTGTTTGAGGTAGACAATAAAGGAGGAGACTAAGTGTCACCAAGTGTCAAGATTTCTGCCTGCTTCCGGCATCATTCTAATGCCCAATGTAGCATTGTACTCTGATCCTGCATCAAAATTGATGCGAGACAAAAAGACTTAGTTTTGTCCCAACCTTACACCGGTCCTGCAACAATATTGATGCAAAGCAAAAGGACTTAACCACAATGCCGACCTCATATCAGTCCTACCGTCAGTAATGACACAAGTTCAGCGTCATTTTGGTATGGTAGATCAATAAGTTTGGTGTCACACTGGTAATGTCAGATGCTAGGGCTATTTAAACTCATTCCACAGGAAGTCGAGGTGTAGTGGTGCCTGTATATCTGAGAGTGCATTCCCTGTGTTTATGGCTTGTTGTGTACTCCTGACTTTGGCCTGTCTCTAGATTTTGTGCTCCTTGGCCCTGGCCTGTTCACGACTCCTCTGTTCTGTTTGTATATTCTTAGTGCTAGCCTGGACACTCTAAGGATCGGTACCGACTTCTGTGCTGTCTCTCCTTGGGTTTGCATACTAAAGATAGGTTAGCCTTGACGATATCAGTCTGTGTTTTGGTGCAGGATACTGTTTAAGGATTATTTTCAATATTTTTTTGCTAAAGCAGTGTCTATTTAATGCAGCATTAATTATGTCATAAGTATTCAGTTTAAAAATTAGGCACCATTTTTCTCAGCAAGATATAAATGGGAGAACTGTTGCAAAACTAATTGATACAAAAGCCTGAATTAGGCCCACTTCTCCTCATACCTCCAAGTTCTCCCAATAAAGTTTCAGAACCAATCAGGTAGCCTCTGAGGGAAGGACAGCTATGCAAATCTTCTGACTGGTAATTTAATATATGGATATTTTTTTAACTTGTAAACAGTAGATAGTGTTAATAAATGACAGACTGAACTGGAGAAAAGTCAAGTCCATTTTTTTAAATCTTCTGTGAAAATGTATCTCTACATGACTTATTCTAATCTCCTAAATAATTCATAAGTAAATAGATATAAAATACTAAGAAGTACAAATTGAATGTCTCTGTAACATCCCTAATGTTTCGGAAAAGCCCCATGTGATCTGAAGGGAGGGGAACTACATACATTGAATATCACGCATTTTTGATCAATCTAATTAACTGCATTACTTCATTTTTATTTCCATCACGCATCCCCAGAGGTGCAAAATTCAGCTGCTATTTACTGTGGATTAGTGACTAATATCCCCAGATTAATTTCTGAAAAATTGAGACAAAGTGGCTATTTTGTAGCGTCAAGGGATTCATGGTTTTCAACTCTAGTAAAGTATAGGGTGCAGCTCTTCTGGGCTGATTTTAATGTTTCCTCTGTGAAAGGATTCTAACATTAGCAATGGCTGAATTTCCCAAAGCCATTACCCCTTCAGAAATTGCAGAAGCAAATATTTATTGATTGTAAAGGACATTATAAAATAATATAATGAGGTAAGCGTAGAAATAAGTGAACCTCTGCTTTTAATATTTTCCGGATTATTTTCTTTCACTAATTGCACTAGAGGATTGAATTAAGGCAGGTGTGGTTCCTACATTCAAAATCATGACGTGGAATTTATGGACCTGTGAGCTTGACTTCCATGGCTGAGAAAGTATTAGAAGGGTTATTAAAGCATAATATTCAACAATTAATTGGGAAGAACATTATATTAGATATAATCAGCATGGCTTTATGAAACATAGGTTATGTCAAACTAACTAAATTGCGTTCTACGAAGATGTAGTTAGAAGTATAGATCAGGGTGTTGCAGCAGATGTTGCACAGAATATGTTCGTGTTCAGACAAAAAGAAATTGGTCTTGATGAAAAATCTTTTTCATGGTTAGAACAAAGATAGAGTTGTCATTTAATTTTCAACCTGGACAAAAGTGGCAAATGGTGTCCCTCAGGGTCATGTTCTGGGATAACTTCTATCTAACATATTTATAAGTGATCTTGAAATAGGCATTGAAAGCCATGTTTCAGTGTTTGCAGATGACACAAAATTCTGTACAATAATGCAGGATATTACTTTGCTGTAAAGTAATACAGGATAGAAGCAGAATGGACGCTTGCTAGACACCTTTGTTTTCCTTTATTGGCTGTCCGTACCCCCACTGTTATAAAACTTCCACATTTCATGTGTTTTCGTACTGTTATTTTGTGTGGTTCTTCTTTGTCTGTTCGGGAGACTTCATATGAACAGATTCTATTTGTCTCCCGAACGAGGACCACTCCTGTGCCCCATTAAAATGTTGACACCAACCACATAAGTGCGAAACCGCAAGGGAAACAATTAATAAATATTCCTGTGGCAAACTACCCTTTTTAGTCGAGTTTGCCACGAACTCCTGGAGAAGCCTGCTTGCCAGCGTCCTGCCCACAGACTATGGGCCCTGCAGGGAAACATGTAAAAGACAACTAGATTTTTTTTATTTTTTTTATTTCTTCCTGACTTTACTTTGGTGTAACCAGCAGAGAAGAGTTCCTGCTATGACTAGGACTCTGCTACAAGGATATTACTTTATCTACTCAAATGTACATAAATGGTAAGTTGTGCACTTGGGGGTAAAAAATGCACAAGCAATTTACATCCTGAATGGTAGTGAATTGGGGATAACAACACACAAAAAGGATTTGGGAATTGTTATAGACAACAAACTAGGGAAAAATGTGCAACATCAAACAGCAGTCGCTAAGGCCATTAAGGGATTGTCCTATATAAAAAGGGGCATTAATTCTCAAGATGAAAATATAATTTCGCCTCTTTATAAATCGCTGGTAAAACCACACCTTGAATATGCTGTGCAATTTTTGGCAACTGTTCTAAAGAAGGATACGATGGCACTAGAAAAAGTATATTGGCGGGCTACAAAATTAATAAAAGGAATGGAACATTTTAGTTATGAAGAAATGTTAACAAATGTAAATCTGTTTAACTTAGAAAAACAGCACATCAGAGGGGATATGATAGCATTATACAAACATATTCAGGGTCAATACAAACCGATGTGTGGAAATCTATTCATAGACAGGACTATACATAGGACACAAGATCATGCATTTAGACTGGAAGAAATTATATTTAGTTATATTTAGTCTAAGGCAAAGGCAAGTTTTTGTTTTTGTTTTTTTTTTACAGTACGAACAATAAGCATATGGAATTATCTGCCTGAAGAGGTGGTTTCATCAGAGTCTGTACAGATGTTTGAACAGCAAAAACAGATGTAAAAGAGACTGAACTTGATGGATGCATGTCTTTTTTCAGCCTATGTAACAGTGTATCTATGTAAGAATACTGCACCATAAGCATGCCTCTTTAGCCACATCTTCACTACTGAAAAAAGACTTCCTTATCAAATGTTCTTCCTCAGTCATTGACATCAAGTGATCTGATGTCAGAGGAGAGGGCACCCAGTAAGGATATAGTAAGGATATCAATACCTATTTGTAGTTTATCTGACTGTCTACAGCCAGGTTGGGAATTAAAGTTATATTGGAGCCTGGAGTATCCCTTAAAGGCCATAGTAAATGTTATTCACAAAAATCTGGGTACAAAGAATATCCATCAATGGTCCTTGGTGACCAATTCTCCAATTTGAAATTTAACTCATTAACCTATTTTTCAAATATGGTAAACTACATTTTGCAAAGCTAAGTTTAATTCTTCTCAATGTCAGTGGCCCGTTTAATATAATCTCCCTATTCTTACCAACAGGGACTAAAAAAAATAAAAGGGTGATCCAATTTTGAGACCCAAATAAAGAGTTAAAGGGGAACTCTCATTTTTGAGGTCTTTGCATTTTTTTTTGGCCAGCCTAAGAGGCACAAGATCTAGGAGACAGATGGAAGGGAAGCACACAACACTGTGCTCTCCCTCTTGCCAGTGACTACATGTAGCATGGCCATGCAGACCATGGTATAAGATTTTCTATACCTTCTACCCAGTCTGACAGAAAGTGCTCAAAAACACTTGTCAGATCAGATAAAGGATTCAGAAGATCTACCGCTGTCCACGTGGCCATGTTACTCAGGAAAGTGAGCAGACATAGGAGGGGAAGGAGACCACAAAGAGGAAGGGGGGGCAGAGAGACAATGAGTGGCTTTGTAAGAGATACAGAGGATTGAGGGAAGAAGTAAGAGATGCAAAGAGGCTGAAGGGAAGTAAGAAACACACAGGATGGTTGTAAGTGATGAACAAGGTATACTAAAGCGGATAAGAAAAACAAAAGGGGTGAGAAATTCAACCGGTGGGTTAAGAGATACAGATGGGAAGATGCATTTTTTGGGGATATCAAGGTGCTTCATCACCTGTGTATACAAAGATCCTTGCACAGCTGTGCTTGGAGGCCAAGCTGTGGAACAGGTTAAAGCTTGAAATAGTTTTGTGAGCATCTTCTCTGTGGTGCAATGTTCTTCTACGTATCCAGGTCTTCAACTTGTGGTTTAGTCACCAAGAGTCACCATCACTAATGTACTCTCATGCATTGAGATGCTATAGGCATATGGTAAGCATTACTGTGAAGATGCCTGTCCTCATCAGCCATCGTGAGGCTTATATAATGGGTGATGGCAACATGTGACAGTGAAACTCCACCATTTCTCACATTTAGCCAAAAAAAGTAGTCACTTCATTGTCTCATTCACATCTTCTCAATGCACCTATATGAGTTTTTTTCAAAAAGATTCCATCTTCCTAAAATCCTTAAGAATGACGGAACTGCAGTAGTCTAGTAATTTATAAGACGTTAAACGTATTGCTTTGACTCAACTTCTTGAGAGTTTAAAACACTGAAATTTGGCAGTACTTCATTTAGATAATATGTTCATTAGTAAAAACAGTAGCTTGTTTTTAAAGGCAAAATCTTCAATCCTTTGTTTCTCTGCTCCTTGCGTGGAGTTAATATGCCCTGAAGTTGGAATATAGGTAAATTTCAGGGTATGCCACATTCGTCAGTTATAGTTAAGCATTCATGAAACACACAGACCTTTATAACTCATTTTAGAATGTTTTCCTCCTTGAATGCAAAATGCAACAAAGAGCCAAAGGATTTACGACATCCAGATGTTTGTGTTATTGCTTTGAGTTCTCTATTCCACACAGTGTTTCTTTCCTTGACACAGATAGTGTGTGTGTGTGTAATGTGTACAGTACTGCGCACAAATAAACGACATTTAGGAGGCATGAATGCACTACTGAGCAGCAATGAAAAGGAGCTTCACATACGTCTCCACGGAGTAGATTACCTGGATTTTATTACTATGCTTAGAAAGGCTGATTTTTCTGAAATGACTTGCGTAGCATACTCAGACACAGCATGCTAGCTGGTTTGCAGTATCCTCGGTTATTTTGGGTTGACTTATATAACATTCACGGTCAGGTCAATTGAACTTGGCTGCTTTGCATGATAATTCCAGAAATTCTTGGACTAGTTTACAGAGTATTCAAAGACAGGCCCTGCTTTGTGAAGTGCTAGACACTGAGCCTTCAAATAGTCCCAGATATGGCAAGTCTGTGTAGATTTGAGGATCTTGTTATTTTGCACCATCCTTGGTTTGTTCCCTACTGTTCCGCACACTGTGTCAGTGATTTAAAGGTAGCTGTGCATCATTCTGATTAAGTCATGCCGGCGTTATTCCTATGTTCTGGGTGCATAAAAAGGACGCAAACCAATCTACAGGGGTTAGTAGCTATATAAATCCCTAATGCTGATGCACATCACCCTAATGGCGTTTTCAGAACCTTCCTACTCTTGGTTTGCTTGACTTGGCCTGGCTTATCAAATCTGTAGGTCTCCTTCACCTAGGCTTTTATTTGATGATTCTTTGTAATTTCCTCTTCTATAGACATAATGCAAAGTAAAAATAAAGTTAACAAATTTTAGGAATTGGCACTGCTCTTTTCACAAAACCTTACTCCAAGTTTTATCACTGTGAAGCTCTGTTAAACACAACACACATTGTAAGCTTCTAAAAAATTTAAAACCTTTAACAGAGATTATGTGGGAGGTTCTTGAGCGATTTGGTGTCCCTTCAAGGTTTTTTCAGGTTTAAAAAGTCTAAATAGATATCAAACAAAATGTTTTTGCAATGGAAGTAAGGTCTTCAGCTATACCAATTAAAAACAGACCAAGACAAGGTTGCCCTCCGTCACCCTTCTTTGCACTTCATATTGAAACCGCTTGTTAACTCATGGGCAAGGCATGCCCAATTGGTGAACATAAAAGAATGTAAACCTGTCAACTCTGCTTCAGTCTAATTTACACATTTTCTAATGATGGTCAGAGATACTGATCAAAGTGGGCAAAGGCCAACAATTGATATAGATATATATATATATATAGTGATCCTTGTCAGCAGGTAGCACGGTCCTCTAGGGCAAAAACATGCACAGTCTTTTAATGCAACTTCATTCCAGGCACTTTATTTGTAAGTTTACAAATGAGGCAGCAGCAAATGAAAACATAAATATAACAGGTTTCCCTTTAAACAAAAACCTAGCTCGTCTGAGCACTGACTCACTTTGAATATCCCTCTCTATCAGGGTTAAACTAACAAACATATTGCACCAACCTTATTAGATAGCAACACTCTGCTAGCTAGCCTGTTGCTTTCCTTTCTCCACTCCCAGTGCTCCAAGCCAGCCTTGCCCTGACTGCTTTCCTTTCTGCACTCCCAGTGCTCCAGGCCAGCCTTGCCCTGACTGCTTTCCCTTCTGCACTCCCAGTGCTCCAAGCCAGCCTTGACTGCTTCCTCCTGCACTCCCAGTGCTCCAAGCCAGCCTTGACTGCTTCTTTCTGCACTCCCAGTGCCTAGTCTCCTTGACTCTGTATCTGGAGAGAACAGCCTCTCTCCTACCTGCTTCCTGGGAGGAAGCCAGCAATTCCCCCCTTTTACCTGCCTAGCAGGTAGGGGTTTATTCCCACTGCAACAGCTCATTAACTGCAGCTGAGCAGTGGGTTGGAGACGGTCCAAAAAACCCTGGCCTGGATCTGTGTCTCCCCAGAAAACCACTAAACTGTGGAGTGGAGCACTGGCCCACCCTTCTCTCCAAATGCTCCACCCCAGGGGCCCATAACTAAACAAAGCTTTGTGTTGTGCAATACACAAACTACACGTACTTCCCCTGGGGTTAAAAGGCCTATCTGCCTTCACTTTATCACAATATATATAGAACAAGTTTGGGATGCTTCAGGCGAATTGACAAACTTTACTACTGTTGGTTTCTGAGACAGATTTGTGACATTTGGTGAAGACGCCACTCTAACCTCTTTATAAGAGATGTGTTTCAGAATGTTAGTAAGATTTCTATGTATTTATAAAATGCTGCAGAGTCCATGTTTAGATGGCAAAATAGATTTCCAGGCTTTGGGAGACAGAGACCTGGGCAAGGTATTGACTGAAGAGACCGTGAGAGACATCTTTCTATTAAAGGAAATAGATGTGTGTAGCAAAGTGGTACTTGTACTCTGTCAGACTGGTTCATTATTATCCAGATCTATCTCCATTATGTTATAGAGGGTGAGGCCTTAAGTAAGCATACTTTCATTATTGGTGGGAATACAAAAGAAGAGGCTACACATAATGATGATGATAATAATAACAAATATTATTATTAGATTATTCCAAAAATGTCTCTTATACATGCTGCACTAAACACAACCCAGCGAACACAACTGGTGTCTAGACTTTGCCAGAGAAAATGTGCACAGCTACAGGTCTGTTAATATAAGGATCAGACTCCTGACTGAAGTATGTTATTAAGAAAAATCTGTTCATTCATGACATGGAGAAGTGAACCGCTGACCTGATAGGAATACTTTCTGCTTATAATAAAATATGGTACCAATTTAAGGAGTATATATGTCTCATGACCCAATTCCATGAGTTCCCTAGATTACCTGTAAGGGATTAGAATTGGAAAACTCATTTATTTATGAAGGATTAAGGATTCATGAACATTTTTTATTTTTCCATCACTCCAATATTCATTTAACACGATTTCCATGTCTACAAAATTTTGACATTTAATATTTTTTCCCGTTGTGGTCCCCCTTCTTCTGCTATTATCTATTATCTGATTCACTTGTCTTTTCTTGGTGTATTATTTTTAAATGCATTTTGCAATGGTTTTGCCTTGTTTTGTTGGTGGTTTCTAGTTTGTCTTGTCTTTAAAGCAGCTCTGTCACACCCCATCCAAAGTTAGTATTTCATAAAGATAAAAGTTGTAATCTCAATGAAATTCTAATCCAGTCAAAAGGTATACTAAGACAAACTAATGACTACTTTGTCTTTGCTTTTTCCTATACTTGACAAAGCTTGGTTAAGCCCTGTCAAGCCCTCAGTCATCAACAGCTGAGTAGAAAAAGGCTCTTTCTATGAAGATCTTGCAGGATCCTTCATAGACCTCATTCTTGTACTCTCACGCATGCATGAGAGTAGAATGCTGACGTTGGCTCCTGCCAGGAGCTGAAGAAAATGGTTAGGGAAAAGATGGCGGTGGCCACGACAGAAAATTTCAAGTAGGTATTATTTACCTTTCCCTGTACCCCTCAGCCCCCACACTGACCGGGGAGAAGTCAGCAACAGGAGTCTCTGACCGTAGGTGGTGACACACCGGTTTAATATTTTACCCACAAACCACTTAAGGATTTGACAATTTGTGTCTATTTCAGATACTTGTATCATCAAGGTATAAAATATGTATGTATGTTAGCAGAAACTTATTTCTTAAAATATATATTTGTAATTATACATATTCTGTTTTTATTAATTTACATGTGCTCCATTTCTTAATAAAATTATTAATTTAAAAAATAAAAAAAGAGGTGAATTACGATCCAAATGAAGAAATCCTCTCATAATTTGGGAAACTTGACAGATATAACAATAGTGTTAAAGGAACAGCTTTAATTTGGAGGCTCTGTTACGGTAGCCATGCTTCTGTGATGGGAGTTATAGAGCTGGAGTTGCCTCAGGGAACATAGATGAAAACACAGTTGGACTAACAATGGAATGATTGATTATATTAAGAGGATATGCATAGCATACATTCAGCTCAAATCGCACAACTCCGTTTAAAGGAAAATTAATAATTTTCCATAATACATAAAATAAAAGTATCATATCCTTATTTTGGATTATTTTGTTATAGTTCAAAAACTCAATTTAGTATATCTCAAAGTTCCACAAAGCTTTTTCTTTGTAAGCAACAGTGTACAATGATGTTCACGGACTAGGCTGTGACAGGGTCAGGGACAATATGTATCTTAGTCTGAGCATAGGGTTAATCTTTCTACATCTGTTACATAGCCCACAGCTGTACGGTAGTTCTGAAAGAACAGGGAGGTGCCTCACAAACACGCTGCACTTGGAACTTTTAGATGGAAACTTGCAAACTATCTGACTGTCTGTAAAGACAATGCTTCATTCAACACAGCATTAATTCTACCACAATTTCATTCTTTGTGTGTGTATATATATATATATATATATATATATATTATTTTTTTTTATTTTTTTTTAAAGGAGAAATAGTAGAAAAATGACAACCCCCGACCCTCACAAACACACAACTTTTTTTTTAAAATTATTTACGAATTTCTACACAAGTGCAACTAAAGAAAATTAGCTCCAAATTGATGAATTATTTCATGTTGTTAAACTGCCCAATATATTTAAAATTTCAATAAATCTTTTGAAGTTATTTAACTTCTAATGCAATGGAGTGAATTAAACTTTTCCAGATCATCCTTTACAATATTTGGCATGCTGAGAACACACTTTTAATAGTTGTCACAAAATCCCAAGCCACGGCACAATACATATATTTGTAGAAAGTACAACCACCCAGTCTATTTATACCCCACATCTATGCTTTTGTACCTAATCCAACCCTTAAGCCCACCTGAAAGGGATTTCCTTCTATTGACATCAGTACTGACCTCAGCAGAGGGATTTCTCAGGTCACACAATACAGAACTCCCCGTACTGTGCAATTACAGCATGAGAGGGGGATTTCTCAATCCTACAACTGTCTCTGCAGTGATCACTACTTGGTAGAAAGCCCAGCACTGATCACAATTGGTAGGGGGGTATGCAGGGCGACTCTGTTATGGACTTTTTTAGGTCCTGAAGGTGTCCAGGGCTGTATACAGCTCTCACTTTGAATGCTGCATACAGGTCATCTGTAAATCTCAGGCCACTTACTATGGTCCCAGCTGACAGAGGGGAGCCCCAGTTATCACTCAATGATGCTCCAATCAGACTTTCTAGCTGAGGGAATCTAAATAGATTTAAAGGGCTGTATGTGGCATTCAGTTTTTGCTCTGTATATAGCTCTTCTGCCATTCTGGGACCACAAAATCTGTCCCCAACTGAAAGATTCAAAGCATTCACTTTGCACATTACAGATCTACAGCTCACAAGTTATCTGTCAGACAGCATACCTTTCTTTTTGTTTACATGTATCACATTGAAGTCAAGCAGGGGCAGCAGAGAACACTTATTAAAGAACATTATTGCTTAAAGAGATACTTCTATAATTTGTATTCTTCCAGTATATGTACTGCTATTGCTACCTTCAAATATCCACTTATTAACCTATTTGCCATATGTGTATGTAGCATTTAAATAACAAGCCGAAGTTTAACTTTTTCATATGACAACTAAAGTTTACTTAATAAAAACATAACAAAAGTGCTTTAAAAATAGCGTAATTTGACATAATGATATCTTAATATATATCGAAAAAAATTTAATTATATTTTACCAAATAATAAAACTCGCCCGAATTGGATCAGGTAGTGATCTTTATGGGACACTGAGAAGACAATTGGTCTCTACTCTTAAATGCACCCCTAATGCACATTGTTCTACCTTACAAAATGCATTGCCTCACTCATTCAGTCCATACTTTTTAGATATTATATAAGATGATAATACAAACAGATAAAGATAGACAGACAAATTCATCAATGCAATTCACCTTCCTGAATTAAAATACTGGTTTAATGAGTATCTTTCAGTAGTCCAAGTTACTGTATCCTAAAAACAAACATAACGGGCAAACCTCATATTTACTAAAGTTTTTATTTTACTCATTTAAACTTCTTTAAAGCATGTCCACTTTGCCATCTTAACATGGACCAAACTTTACGCTTTAACCCCTTAAGGACACATGACATGAGTGACATGTCGTGATTCCCTTTTATTCCAGAAGTTTGGTACTTAAGGGGTTAACTTGACTTAAGTTTGACTGATATGGATCTACATCCCACCAAGGCAGCTCTAATCCTAGTGGTCTTTACCTTAAGAACGGAGGCTTTAAAATCTCCAAAAGGATTTTTATACCTGACCGGCGAGCTATTATTCGATTATAATTCACAGAAACATGGTTCCTGAAAAACTGTAGGAAAGGAAGCTGAGGTCACAATTGGACAACTGTACTCTATAATGTATTTTTTTTTTCCGTTTATGTAATGTCACATTTACATAGCAACAAGTCCACTTTTGTCTACATAACTAATTGTAACTTTTCTGTGCATGTTCCGCTCCAACTATTGTTCCATTGTGTAACCTTGCTGTTTGTTTATTGGTTTTGCTATATGTTAAAAGGTCATCTAGAAAAACAGGTTGTAAATAAACCAAAGACTCTAAACATTATAAAACGGGACTCCAAAACACATCCTTCCAATACAAGAGCTTGCAACTTTCTAGTTAAAATGAAGATACAAATGGGATTTTGGAAAACTGACCAGGAACTTAGACATTTGGGGATTTTTTGTTGTTGTTTTGGGTATTATTCCATAAGATGTGTAGCTTTCTCAATTCTCCACAATTCTCAGTTTAGTGACAAAACATCATAAACCATATTACTGGAAATGTTTTTTGCTCAACGATTGAGTGTGGTACAGTATGTGTCACACTCATTTGCCTCTCAAAATGTTCTGAAAAATAGGTTGCAACACATTAAACGTGTAAGTGATATATCTGGTGATTCCAATAAAGTGCACCTTGCATAGGCAACCTATTCAATGCATCAATTTTAGACTTTTGAAATAGAATGAGTCACCCTTAGTTATTTTTACAGTTGCTACTTAAAAAATAATTTCACTCTCCATTTCACTCTCTGTATAGATAAACTGTGTGTGTGGTATGGTTAAAATCAGATTAATGTATTCAAGCACACTTGGAAGAAAGAGGCTTGTATCCCAAGTGTAATGTATCATTGTATAAAAGAAGGATTGTATTCGCAAGCTTGCCAAGAAATATTCCAAAGAAAACATTGTTTTCCTCATAATATATTGCCATGCAAAATGGCCATGTATTTAACAGCAGTAAACTACTAAATAATTCATTTCTATCCTTTAATTTCTTTTTCTGTTTTCTCTATAATTATTAAAATATTAACATTTTAAAAATTAAAATATAATTCAACTGTATATTTTAAAAAATTGGATCAAAGCAGACAAACAAGAAAAAAATCTGTCAGTTCTGTTTTAATTCTGGCTATTAAATTGGTCTTAAATTTCAAACGCACTTTGGATTCCCAGAAATTCTCACTTTATTGAATAGCACAATGTCAGGGTTACAAATTTATCCCCATCAGCTAGAGCGCGGAGGTTTATTTAACCTGGAGATTTTGTTTACTCTCTCCAGCACTTTAGCATTATAAAATGTTTTTCCATTTATTATAAAACAAAAAAAACATATCTATTACACAAATAAAATGTGGTATCACTCTTACAAAACTCTACATTGTCTATTTACATTAAAAAATTAAAGAGCAATACTGTACCTTTTTAAAGTTTTCTAAAGTCAGATCCACAAGGAAATGTTTGGAAGTTAGAATGCAACCTTTTCTCTTCCTCTCCTAGGTCTAATGTAGAATGCTGTCTGTATTACACACTCCTTTAGCACGGAGGAGGGATCAAACAGATGGGGTTGTGGTTTTAGGAAGCTGTAATACAGTCAGTCATACAGTTTATTTTAACACATGCAGTGGATCCAAGAGCATTTTACACTCAAATTTTGTTCCAAATTTAGCTTGAAATCAAAACGGCATGTTCCCAAGCATGTTATTTTAAAGTGTCCCTATCTATCACGATGAGTACTCGATTATGTGAAAATACATAGAATATTATCTATACATTGTGCCAGCAGCATTGTTTAGACCATGGTAGATCCCCAGATGTTTTAAAACTACAACATCTAGGGATCATCCTTTTGGGCACCCCAAGTGTAGACTTTGTAAAAAACCTGTATAAAATATATGCCAGAACCCTAAGCTGTTAATCTACTTTCTGCATACCTATGGCACACCTGTATGTTGACAACATGGAGACAAGAGAGAGTGGATAAACCCTTCTACAAGTGGTTCACCTGCTCTCAATCACAGCAACTACAGCATAAGAAGAAGGGTTACTATAATTATTAATTTAGCAAGCAGATTTTGGGCTTTGCAAGAGAAGTATATCAAATGGCAGTCACTGGCAATGAAGCTGGTATGGCATTACAGAACTTTACCCTGCTTAAGGAAGTGTTCCCAAGTTAGGACATAAAAAAGAAGAGAACTTGACACAATCAGATAAGTCTAGAGGCAGTTTTAATGGAAATTACAACAGGAAGTTTCAGCTCACAAAGGGATTTTCTCAAATCTAACTAACACACCATACAAACATTTATAGTGAAAACGAGAGAGGTATAATCATATTCACATGTTGGTCGCCCCACAACGGAATACTCGATGCAGTAAGATGACCTAACCAGTTCACAGAAAATGGATGTAATTTCGCAAATGCCGGAAGTGTCAAGTGGTACCTCAACAGCAACACCAGTATGTGCCCCAAATAAATAAGCAATAAAAACTATAATTTATCATTACCAATATATATATATATATTTTTTATTTTTTCTATTCTTTAATTTTTATTTTTTTCAATTTATTTATTTTTTACATTTGGGGATTTTGTGCCTAAAGAGTCATGACTTTTTTATGTTTTTTTTTTCTTTTTCTTTTAATTCTTCATTGCTAGATATATGCAAGTGATCGGAACAGTGTGAACGGGTACCTCTTAAATAGGTTTACATAATAGGTTTAAAAAATACATTTTTTATTAAAAATTCATCATAGAATTTACAAAAGTTTTAAAGTTTCTCATTTTAAATACTTGTACTAAACTTTTGATATGTAGGTAAACATACATTTTATTTAGATGTGAGATGGCACAAGATAACTGTTTTAAAGTCTCTAGTCAGCTTTTTGTTAATTATCAGTTCATAGCAAAGACAAGTATTGCAACCACTTAGGCTCTGCTGTTCCTTGAATTAAGGATTATTAACTATATTGACAATTTGAATACTAATGGAGAGGGCGTTTGATCGTAGGTGGCAATGTGATGTACAGAGCAGGCACCTACCTACGGGCACATTGCTTGCATGGTTGCCACGTGGCACGTAAACATGAAGGGAATGAACACAATTAAAGAGTTGAGTATATTTTTTTTAAAAAGAACAAGAGGACATAGTCTTAAATTAGAGGGGCAAAGGTTTAAAAATAATATCCGAAAGTATTACTTTACTAAGAGGGCAGTGGATGCATGGAATAGCATTTCAGCTGAAGTGATAGAGGTTAATACAGTGAAGGAGTTAAATCATGTGTGGGATAGGCATAAGGGTATCCTAGCTATAAAATAAAGCCAAAGACTAATGAAAGTATTTAGAAAACTGGGCAGACTAGATGGGCCGAATGGTTCTTATCTGCCGTCACATTCTATGTTAAACTGTAAGTTGTAACTGGCTGTGATGCGGATGCAGAGGGAGTTGTAGTGAATTATTTGTGTTAAGAGTATGACTGTGTATATAAGTATGGGTGTGTGTCTGTGTGTATGAATCTTTGTGTTTGTTATTATTGTCTGTGTATGAATTTATAGTGTACATATGTTAGTATGTGTATAGAATTTCCCTAAAAAAAGTGGGTTGTGTTTTGCAGTGGGAAACATAAAAATATTTTTACAGTTTAGGGGGTGGGAAGTACCCAATTCCAGGGTGCCATTTAACCTAGGTACACCTCTGACACTGAAATTTATAAATATTAAATCAGTTACATAAATACTTAAAATCTGCATATCAACAGAAGGGGAATAAAGACACATATGAAAATGAGAGTATTCTTATTATCCAGAGGTGACCTTGTATCACAGCTCTATATTACCTAATCCAATTTATACCAGGGTAAAGATTAAGTGTAGTAAGGTTTAAAATGAAGCAGGGATAGTTTGGAATAAATAGATATGAGTGGGTAAGATTTATTAGTGTTCTGTTAATAAAAAAAAGGTGATCTAAAGAACTAAAATTGGGGTAATTGCCATGGAAACCTGTTGAACCAGCAGGCATATTCCAATACTGGCATTTACAGTTTTACACTTTTGCACCACTTTTTATAATAAATCCCCTCCTTTGAGTATGCACATTAACCTCTTCCCATCAAATGCCCCCCAGGTATACACAGACTAAAATTTCTTTTGGGCTGTGAAGCTATGTAAAACAAAAACAAGAATGCTTTTTCCACTTACCATCCTCTCCACTCCAGAGCCTGTCTTTACTCGATGGAAAAATTTATTTCACCTTCAGGACAATTACATTTTAAATACTGACTTTTTTTCAGTTATCTATACATGTCAAAGTTATGGAACGTGGCAAAATTAAATTGTTGTTACTATACTAAATAAGTATCTGCAATTTTATAATACACTGAATAATATTTAATGCATTTTATACGCAACCTTCAAGGGTTAAGTAATAAATAAAAAATGTACACATTAAAAAATATTTTTGATATGGCTACACAGTCACAATCTAGACAAAAAGTGCTGTTATTTTTTTCTTAAAGGGTGCTTCAACCATCTTTGTCACTTTCCATAAATGCCGAATTCAAGGGAAATGTGCACATTTATAAAGAGATAAGGTTGCACCCTCCCAGGTGCCAATCAGCCAGGAGGATGCTCTTGTTTTTTTGTCTTGACACAAGGAGAAGACTATGCATCTCATAGAGTTTGGATCCTATGCTTCTATATAGGAGTCACAGTGGAATGGTTGCCACAAATGTGCCCTGTATCCCAATACATTTCTTTTAGTACTGCATTGGCTGGGAGATGATCAATACTGTTAAACACCCAGTGGAGGAGCAGTGAGGGACTGTCTCATCGCTAGATTAGAGATGTTAACTCTTTATTAACAGGTATTGGTGAGTGACAGGGGGTCCAAGAGAATCCCCAACACTCCACTGTTATAAATACTTGTATTTGTTTAAAATGCTGGAGTGTTCCTTTTAAGAGACACTCCAAGGACCAAAATATCATAAAGTAGTGGTTTTGGTGCAAAGAAAGAGAGATACGGCAATATTTGTTTGTCAGCCTGAATGATTCGAGGGACTGTAGAAGCTGTCGATCAGACAATCAATCTCTCAATCAGATAGCCACTAGAGGCACTTTCTCACTGAAAACTCTCTAATATTGTTTGATGTAGTTAAAAGTTAATGCTTCTCATAAAGAATCATTGGATTCAATGCTTCTGTATGAGAAGCATCCAAATAAGATAGTGTGGGGCTGTGCTTCTCTAAAAAGCATTGTACTGCTCTGAGATCATCAGTAATGATGCTCAGAAGAGAAGGAGCAGCTGCAGACTTGATAACTGGATGGCTATGCATAAAAGCTGAGTTGGACTTTTTTTTTTCTTTAATGGGGAGCTGTCAGGGTACCTGTTGGTGATGTATCCAGGGAGGACATCCTCTCTGCTTAGGGCCTCCCTGCCCCTAGCATTTCGGCATATTCCGGCCGTTTTCGCGCCGGCCGCGCTAGCTCCTCCCCCTTTTATGATGCGACGGCTAGCGTCGACGTCATGACGTCGGCATTTGCATAAAGTGCCGGGAACCGCTATTCCGGACCTTTTGGGGGCGTGGTCTCTATTTAGGTACAGGGTATTTAAAGGAAACCTTTACTACTGCTCATTGCCCTGTCGTGGTTCTAGTTTGCTAGTCACTCAGCGCGTTCTTTATCTTGTGTTTCCGGTTTTGACCCTTGCTTGTCTTTTGTCCTGTTGTCCTCTCCTCTCCTTTGACTCGGCTTGTATCTCGCTTACCTGTCCTCCGGCTCCCTTGACCTCGGCTTACCTTTTGACTATTCTTGCGTTGTCCTTACGTTAGTCCGGCCATTCTAAGGTCCGGTATACGTACCTCATTCTGTGCGCACTCTGCGTATTGGATCCCTGTCACTTTCCTGACAGGAGCCCAATAATCCAATGGGTGACATAAACCACTTTGATAAATAAATCAAAACATACAAAACAAATTTTGTTAAATGTCCTCAGTGATGAACTCATGAACATAGTTACATAGTTGAAAAGAGACTTGCGTCCATCAAGTTCAGCCTTCCTCACATTTGTTTTTTGCTGTTGATCCAAAAGAAGGCAAAAAAACCCAGTTTGAAGCACAATTCTGCAACAAGCTAGGAAAAAAAAATCCTTCTTGACCCCAGAATGGCATTCAGATTTATCCTTGGATTAAGCAGTTATTACCCTACATTCAAAGATTATATCCTTGAATATTCTGTTTTTGCAAGTATGCATCTAGTAGCTGTTTGGACATCTGTATGGACTCTGATAAAACCACTTCTTCAGGCAGAGAATTCCACATCCTTATTGTTCTTACAGTGAAAAAAACCTTTCCTTTGCCTTAGACAAAATCTTCTTTCTTCCAGTCTAAACGCATGACCTCGTGTCCTATGTAAAGTCCGGTTTGTGAATAGATTTTCACACAATGGTTTGTATTGGCCTCGAAAATATTTGTATAATGTTATCATATATCCCCTCTCAGGCGACGTTTTTCTAAACTAAATAGGTTTAAATTTGT